GTGTTCTTCCCAACCAGTTCATACTATTCAGATTGTTACTAGGAACCCTAACCCAGTTAGGCCCCAGTAGGATCTCTAACAAACGTAAGGTATGAATAGTTACTTGTCACTAAGAACTGTATAGTCCAATAGATAACATAAGTTGGCTACGAAGAGAGTGTAACTATCCCGGGGAGGGGGCGTCGCTATATACTTATATGGGCCTTCCGAATGAGGTAATGTAGAATGGTATGTTGGTATGTTGGTATGCTCCAGTCCAATATATCAACAGGCCAGCTCTTTCCTATCCTGGACGTCACGTGATCCCTTTCAGCCTTGCTCCCTAAGGCTGCCTTATTCGGTTGAGCTTTCTTCCTTGTCCATTCCACGTTCTGTCCGCGGGCCTTTAAGGCTGTGTCTAACATTCTACCACGGGCTAAATATCTATAAACACAGGAAAGAACTCGCTGAAAGGACAGATAGATATACATCTCTGAGAATAGACTAATGCTGTCCATTTGCGTTATAAACATGACAGTTCTCAATCCGACAGCTAAATAGAGCCGATCAGCAAAGACAACGGTCTTAACTACAAAATATTTCGTCCAAAACCATGCCGCTCTTGTCAAAGATGTGCAATGACGTATGAAAGAAGAAGATAACACCGGCGGCCCACACGTGTTGGACTAGCCCGATTAGGCTATTTCCTGGATCTCTTGGCACTGCGGGACAGGCTTGTATTTAAGGCTCTTCCATCCCTGATAGAGCCCCTCTTCCTACTCAATCGATCAACTATTGACCTCTTGATTGATCCAACAATACGGCTCACGGCGCGAACAACCCTGGTGACCTGGGGCTGAGGGGCGGGTTCCTGGATGTTCTTTATGTTGTGGTTGTTGCTTGAATACCCTTCTTGACGCGTTCCCTACGAGATTACGAAACAGACGAAGCTGCAACAAAAGTAACTATATCATATTGTGAAATATGTGCAGGAATTTCAGACGCCGTCTTTCCGAAAAGCCATCACATACTCTTCTTAACAGAAGAAACAGGGGCGAATGAGCGAGACATTGTCTGCGACAAGCCCAATCAGAAGGATGAACAACGTCCCCAAACAATCAATGAAAGGGCTTTTGCGTTGAAGCAAGCGAGTAGTTTCTATTTCCCATGAAGTAACCCGCTTACTTCAAGGAGCTATTGAGTCTGGCATCTCTCCAAAACCCCAAATCCACCACTCTCGCGGTAGATTTTCTAGGTACACTGGTCTCGCTACCTACAAGTCATGTTCGGCTGATTCGGCTGAGCAAGCTTTTAACTAATACTGTAACAGAGCACTTCAGGGTTCGGCGTGCACGTGCAACAACGCACAGAGGCCTGTCCAGCAGGTCGGGAATCGAGAACGCGTTTCTGGTTGACGCTGACAAGACAACACCACCACCAACACCACCCAGAGAGGCAGCGGCTAGGGCAACGAACGTCTAGCACAGCGGCAGCATCGAGAAACGGGGCAGGACTGACAAAAACACTCAGGAATTAGGTAGACGGCACCAAAAGGCCATGGAATTCATGATGCTCTCCTCAAACTGTAAAGAATGGCACTCTGCCAGCACTGTAAACTGTTCCGCACTCCCCCTGCCAGCCAATTTTTGGTTTGACATGTGACTAGACAACTCTCCCCCTGCTACCGCTCTACCAGCCCAGCACAGCCCATCACAGCGCCGCGCAGCACAGCCACTTTGCCTTGTTACAATACTGCTGATCATATCTCGGCCATAAGGGCATTTCGACTGAAAGTGACTACGTACCTTCAGGGTCGAAGAAAGTTGCACTGGCTCATGCTGCTGTGTAGCCTCCGTCGACCCGTGTCAAAGTTAGAGCAAGTCTATCCTTAATAGGCTGAGCTTACCACAAGACTCGTCCCAGTCACGTAAGATGCCAATCGACTGCTCAAGAAGGCAACGCAGTTGGCTACTTCTTCCGTTGTGCCTTTACGACCAAGTGCAGTACCGTCTATGATTGGTTGCAAATTCCTCTCACGAATCTCCTCAGGGATTGCACGGCCAAGGTCGGTGTCGATTATACCTGGAGCCACGCAATTGACTCTGATTCCATGTTTTGCATAGTCCAGTGCTTCTACTTTTGTCATGCCTAGAACCGCGTGTTTCGACGAAACATACTATATAGAATTTGATAGTCAGCCAAAAACCTTGTTACCTGCCCTGTATCCGGCAACAGTCAAGACAACTTACTGCAGATAGCATAGGTTGGCCAACATGAGATACCACCGAACCAATGTTGACAATAGATCCTCGCCTAATACTTGTCAGCGGCCACTCGGCGAGAGGTGGTGGGATGATTTCTGCTCACTCCCCGTTACAGGGTTCTTGCTTGAGTAGCTGTCGGATGACTGCCCGTTGCAACAACCAGGTCGCCCGAACATTGAGGCTGTGGACTAGGTCAAACATCGACACATCCGCCTCATGAGCGTAAAAGAAGCCTCCCGGATTGCCGGCACAATTGACAAGGTAATCCACCCGACCAAACGTCGTGACGGTCTCTGAGACAATTTGGTCACTGACCCGCTCTTGCAAGAGGTCTTGGGCCAAGAGTTCGACTCTTACCGATGGAGTCAGCTCTTGAATCAGCCTCTTGGTGTCCAACAGTCCATTGTTGTCGCGATCAACAAGTACAAGGCCAGTGCTTCCGTATTTGGCAAACGCACGAGAGACAGCACGTCCTATGCCATTCCCAGCACCTGTCACGATCGCTATGCTTGATTGAATGTCAATGACCTTGGTGCGCCTGTCGCTAGCTATGAGATCTCACCCCGATAAATCCATTGCTGAAGATATTGTGATCCGCTACGATCCATTCACCACCGCCTGTTCAGGAAGATTGAAAGAGAATCAATAAGAGTTGGGGCTTGGATGTGGATAACTAAAGTGATGCACACGAGCTAACAGGTTAACAATCGGGTTTTCGTAACTTGTGATATGCCAGTGAAAGAGACACTACCATATGGTTTCCACTTCGGGAGTCACCCCACATACTCTATCCCACAAGATCGGTGGGGAGCCGAGGAGTGATCTCCTCGTACCTGGAACTAAACCACATGTGCCAATGTTGCTCGAGGGTATGATCCGCGTCCATTTCTAGGCTAGGTCTTTCCAATGCCAAAGTAGTGCACCATGTCTTCCACATCCTGCCACAAGGCTTCAGGCTGCTCAAGGGCGGCAAAATGTCCTCCCTGTCGGAAAAATTATTGGTACATATCAATCAGTGACTGAATGATATGCATACCTTGTCATGAGCCCGGAACCATGTGATGACTTTGACGTGATCGCGCCAGGGCTTCGGTGGGTTGCTGATCTCTCCCTTGAACCAAGAGTATCCTATTGGCGCTTTTTCGTTTCCAGAAACCGACCACATATTTAGGCCCTGTGATACCACCAAGCGATATATCCAGAGGGACGTAGGATAACATCTAGAAAACCAGTAATAGGAGACGTTTGTTAGGATCTCCTCCAATGTCGGTGTCGTCTCCGGATCTGACCACTGAAGGAACTTTTCACCTATCCTGGGCCGTGACGACGCCGTGTTAGCTCTTATCACACGCGAAAGGAAGGGAGTCTGTAGCTTTACCATGCCAGTAAGCCCACAGGTGTGCTTCCGAGAGCAAATCCTACTGTGGCCGGTCTGGTGCCCTGGATGGCTACATAAGCGCCTCCAGAGGCCTGGAATTGGGCGCCACGCTGGAGTGAAGCTATTTCATCCGGCGTGTATTTCTTTTCTTCAATGTCTGCCTGGATATCTGTGCCGGGAGGCGGAACCAGGAGAAGCATGTTAACATGAACAAGGCGAACGGCGGGATCAATTTCTGCAAGTCTTGGTGCTAGGAAGCTACCAACGTCGCCCCCTTGAGGGACGTAGCCACCATTTTTTGGGGTAAATCCGAGGTCATGCATCATGCGCGATGTGATTCGAGCATGGTCAGAGGCAGTAAAGTCATACTCTTTTGCTGGAGGTGACGAAAATCCAAATCCAATCAGGTCCGGAACAATGATATGATAAGGCAGTTCTTTTGGTGTATGCCACTTTTTCCTGACTAGTTTAAGAAGCGGTAGAAATTCCAATGCCGATCCAGGCCAGCCATGGAAGAACGCGATGGCCACTGCATTCGGTCGACGGGAGAAAAGCGCATTGAAACGAATGGTATAAACGGTTGCATTCGTATCTTCGACATCAATCGTGTATTGTGGGAAGGAATTGAACTCATCTTCCCACCTTTTCCTGTTTTTGATCGAATCAGCTTCATAGTAAGGGAATCAAGAAAGTGCAGCCTACCAGTCATAGCTCTTTTGCCAGTAATCTACTGCATTGGTCAACCATTGCCTTGTCACGCCAAATCGACCATCTGCCTGCGAGTTTTCCCAGTTCGGGGCTGCAATTGAGTAGTCTTCAAGAAGTAAGCGCAGCTTTGCAATCTCCTCCTGTGGCACAGCGATTCGATAGGGTTTCAGGTTCGCTTTCGCATCTACGGCGTAGGGAGGTGTCCCAAAATTAGATGCTTCACCCATGGTCGTGTCGGACGATGCCTCGAGTTATTGATGTATTAACCTGGACAAGTCAGCGCGATACCGAACACCACCGGGAGCTCGAGAGTGGTGATTCTGTGGGCTTATAGCAAGTGAAGTGGTTTGCTTTGCCGTCTCGGCATCCGTGAAAGACTATACAATACGAGGAAAGGCAAACCCCCCACAGGCAGTTGAGCTGGCCCACAACATGCTGTCGAATTAGTTTCAGCATCTAGAATGGTCTCCTCAGTCTGATTTGTTTCACACCCCGGACGATACAGGCTCTATTTGCATGAAAATTTGAAGAGATACTCCTGCTTCAGTCAAACTTGTCACTTGGCACTATATCGGCGAATGTACTGGGAGAACTGTGGATACGGGAAGCGTGCCTCCCACCGTCACCCTACGTGCTGATGACAACAACGACATCGAAATCCATTAAACTCGACGTATATCTACAGGGCAAGTAAAGTCTCTGCATCACTATCCCTGCGTTTGAGGTGTCTACTGGCGCTCCATGGTCGCTACTGCCGTGCCACCGTCGTTCGGGAGACCGCCCAGGAAGTCGACTTTCAGGTCGTAGAGACCGTGCAGGGCTTCTTCACCGGCTGCTACAACATGTCCAATGTCCTGTTCGCAGTCCCAATATCTGCCTCGCAATACCTTCCCCCGACCTGTGGACAGATACGCACAAGTCTGGCCACACACTTCTGGCCTCACCCTAAATGCCTTTTGGAACGTAGCCCACTTCGCTGTGATTTCAGGATATTTTCGTTTGACTTTATCCTCAATTGGTAGGACCATGTCGGTTTTTACGGCACCCGGATGTAGCGCGTAAAGGTGAATTTTATCACCAAAGCCATCAACCTCTAATTCCGCTTGCCAACATGCAGTAGCACGAATGAGGCCACACTTGGCGATTGAATACGCTCCGGCAAATGGCAGGGTGACCGTGCCGGCACGAGACGCAATGTTGATGATACAACCTTCACCTCGCCCTCTCATGGAGGGTAAGACTTGTCACAGGCAAATCATAGCCTAGATGACTCCAGTTAATATACGGTCAAGAGAGGGGCACCGATTCCGGCATAGCTCACAGCTTTTAAATTCAGGTCGATGGCAGCCCAGAAGTCATCGAACGTCTCCATGATCATGGGCAGGCGATTATTCTTTCCTGCGTTGTTCACAAGAATCCTGCCACGAGTCAGAATTTCTGCTGGTCTGGAAGACACAAATTCATACTACACTGGGCCAAGGTCGGTCACTATTTGGCGAAACACCTTCTCAACTAAGTCGAACTTTGTCACATCACAGGCGTAAGGAATAGCCTTGACACCATGGCGCTCGCAGTCGGCCTTCGCTTGGCTCTGACGCTCGACATCGAGATCCAACAATGCAACATGTGCTCCAGTCTTGGCTAGAGCTTCCGCAATCGCCTTTCCAATGCCTGCTCCGAAGGGCGCGTAAGTCGACGATAGGTGTAGGAGTTTCAGCGAACTACGCCAAAAGAACATGATAGTCAGATAGCCTGGGACACATACCGCGAGCTGCACCAGTGACCACTGCCACCTTTCCCTGGTTGGCCTTCCCCAGCGTTTCCGGCGAGATGGCTGGGTAGACCTCAGTATTGAGACTTGGACGAGACATGTTGAGCGTAGCTATTCTCATCGACAGTGATTTGCTGTAGAGGGATTTGGCGTTTTAGCAGTCATAAAGGCGACTGATCTTGCGCAAGGACCTTCAGTCAACAACCGTGCAGAACCCCCGCCATTTGTTGGGCGAGTCGTTGGAAGTAACCCCACACTTCCATACAAGTTGGCTATCCTGAGCCTTGTGGAGGCCCTCGGGAGCACTCCACGCTTGAATTTACATAACCAACAAGCCGGCATTGGCGTTTAGCTTGTCCTTAGTCGACAAAATTGCTCAGAGCCCTTCCTCCCCTCGGAGGAAACCCTCAGTCCAGGTGTGAAAGGGTCATGGAACCGCCATGCCGTGGAAGGTTTCAGATCGTCACTATGGTGGCGCTTTGTGCATTGCACAAATTTGCAACTAGCTTCTATAGGCAAAGCATGTTGCGTCAGCACCAGCTTTGCTATTCGCTTGTGGGGTACGCAACACCGTGAATTGTAGGAGTCCCATATCTCTCCCACTGGCCGGACGGCATCGCCTCCTAATGCGTTGAAGCTGAAGAAAGCCGTCAAAAAAACCTTTGGAACGGAACTAATTGAGAGATCGTATATCGTCTGTGCACTGGAGACAAAAAATGTCTCTGCTACAACAGTTGATTGCATCCATTCAACAAAATGTGCAGAAATACGAGGCTGCCATAGCAGCAAGTGGACTGCCTCAACCTCATCTGTGGGAGGCGGAGCCTTATGCTTTAGATGATCCGGAGAAAGCAGCCAACGCGGAGGCATATCAATACATGAACAAAATTCTTGCGGACACGCGCGCTATTGAGGCAATCGTGACTCCTTCGCGCTACAAGGTGATTGACACTGCATATGGGGCAATTCGGGGCGCGGCGGTAGATACTGCTGCAACCTTAGGAGTCTCGGATGCCATAGAGAAACATGGAGGCTCAGCGACACTCGATCAACTATCTCAGACGCTCAATGTCAATAAGAACAAGCTCGGTATGCCTCGGGCTGGCGGGCGAGAAGTGAACCGGAAGACTAATTCTTAACAGGAAGATTGATCAGACTTCTTGCGGCGGACTTCATCTACACAGAGACATCTCATAACACTTTCGAGAATACGAGACACAGCGTAGCTCTTCTCAAGAAAACCGGAGCAGAATTCTTCCTGTCTCTGTCGTACGTAACTTCGTGACGTGCAAATCTTGTTCTCATGCTAACTGGAATGCGACAAGGGCCGAGGAAAACGCCATTGCTGCCACAGGATTATACAAGGACCTGACCGCCCCTGACACTCGGGATTCATTCGACGCGGCAAAAAGCGCCTTTAGCCGAGTATACCTCCACAAAGATCAGAGCTTCCTGGAATATATGATGTCTCCCGATGGTGCGGCTATAGCGGCCAAGGTTGGAGCTGGTGTTGTTCCGTGGCTGAATGTAAGCTTCTGGTTGAGTTACTTGCCCTTCCAGGCTGGCTAACAAAACACAGAGGGTCACGCGAGGAGGATTGTTACACGATTATCCATGGAAAGACCTGTCAGGTATCACTGTGGTAGATGTCGGCGCTGCACCTGGAGATAGTGGATACGACGTTTTGCGCTTGAACCACAACATCAAGTGGATTTTCCAGGATCTCGCGGCTGGGATTGGCATGCTAAAAGCGGTGAGTTTCAGGCAACAAGCGGTGCCAGCACCGTTTTACTGATCTTAGTGTTAGACCATTCCCGAAGATATGCAAGGAAGAGTCCAGAGTGGGCAGATAAGCTTTGTCATCCAGGATTGGTATGAAGCGAACCAAAGTCAGGGAGAGCTGTGGTACCTCAGAGGTGTGCTGTAAGTTTGACCAACTACTGGTTTCAAACTTTGTGTTCTGATTTTTGATATACAGCCGCGAGTTGGACGATGATAAAGCTTTGATCGTTCTGAAGAGGTGCGCTGAAGGCTTGAGAAAGACTCCGGGTGCGAAGCTTGTCATCAACGAAATCCTCTGCACATGCCCCTACTACAAGCCCTCCGCCCAGGGAAGCCCTGCTGTTCCTTCAGTATCCATTCCATCTCCTCAAACCCCTCTGTCGGATTCTGGAAATTTGATGTCAACTAGCGCTGTTCTCTTTTTCGGTGGCAAGGAGAGATCGTTCGAGGAGATGGAAGGTCTCCTCAATCAAGCTGGATTGCAGATCCAGAAGCTTTACGTTTTGAGGACATTCACCTCTATGCTTGAATGTGTCTTGAAGAGCTGAAGAGGGTCAATATCATTATCGGTCTCCTATGCCAGAAGGCATAGCTGATGAAAAATCCATCTTGCACATCATGAATACTTTGGACTCTGGTTCATTTGCCCCTGCATAGTACCATAACTACGATCGCAGTTCCATAATAGTAGGGGCGTAAATTGCCGTAGCAAACTTTCAAATAGTCTGAACTAGGTCCAGTTACGCTCTGCATATCTTCGCGGTTGTGCACAAGCATGACTTCCCAGCTAGTACAAATCTTCTATCAGAGCCCTTACAGCTAGTACAAACTCATTTCTTCTTGCTAGTTTTTCCTCTCCAGGCATCCAAGCACCAGTCGCTCGTTCACAAATAACGTCAATTTGGTCCTTATTGACCTTCCACTCAGTTAGCGTAGTTGCGAGACCTAAATCAGAGATCAATAGGCCGATTCTCGTGCCAACTTCTTCACCATCTTTCCTATGATCCCCCGATGGAAAGCCACCGATAAATGGTAGGATACCTGCTATGCGTCTCGCACCTTCACTATTCATTGAAGACTTCAATTTGACGACTCGAGCCAGCGTCATACAACTTGTGACTCCATGTGGGATCCCGTACGGACTTCCCAAAGAATAGCCGATTGTATGGCTCAAGCCGACGGAACCCTTGAAATTCTGTCCTAAAGATCCTAGGCTTGCGTATGCACATAGAAAGAGGCGTGTGATAGTATCTTCATCTTTAGGGTTCTCTTTATACTTCGGTAATAATAGGAAAAAATTTGCTACCGCGTTTAGAGCCATGACTTGGCACGGTATCCAGGTCGCCGAAGGGTGGTACTGGACTTCCACAGCGTGATCCAAAGCTCGAATTGCAGTGGTCAAGAGAAGGTGAGGGGGGGTGTGCAGCGCAAACGTGGCATCATATAAGATATAAGCCGGATAGACGTCCGGGTGGCGGATGCCCTTTTTGAGGCCATCACTCATCGTCGTCCCTCCAATGTCGGTGCATTCTGCCGCGCTCAGGGTTGTTGGTACTGCTATATGCGAGAGCCATCTGCCACTGTCTGTGCCGATGTGGTATATGATAGACTTTGCTGCGTCAATCGGGCTTCCGCCTCCGACGCTGATGAGAGTGTCAATCGTTGGGTCCTTTTGCACCCTGGCCAGGGCTTCTTGCAACGGACCATGAGGCGAGTGCTGCTGAATGCCACTGAACGTACCAGCGTGGCGTGGAGGCGTTAAAATGTCTTCTACTTTCCTGATGAGCGGTGTCTTGGTGGCCAACGAATTTCCCGTGACGATGAACGCCCGAGAAGAAGGGCCCGAGAGGCATGAGACCAGCTTTTGTTCCACCACATTGGATCCATACAGCATTTGTTTGAGCTTTTGAGGGGCATAGCAGCCCGCTAAGTGTCCGTCGCTGACATCCATCGGTAAGAGAGACTGTCAAGTTGACCCTCGTTGAATACACCTTCTTTCTCCAAGGCGAGATTTTCTCTGTATAGCATGCTTGGCCGGCATGCTCCCCAGCGTTCGCCCAGAGACGACAACATCCGAGGGCATGTGGAGAAGAACGAACCCCACTGATGTCGGCTTAGTCTCTAACATGTGATGCTCTCCGCACATGTCTCATGACGGTCTAGAATTGCAATTCAGCTTTAGCGCAACCAAAAATCTTGTCTTGGGAGCAGGACACAGACCTCCTTTTTGAATTTGTCCATTTATGTGGGGAACAAAGGCCATGCTTATCTGGTGACAAGTTTCTACTATCGACCTGCAGCATGTCGCTGGTCCTCGGGGCAAGACAGCCTTTTTCCACGAGAACTCTCACATCACCGTCAACCTGCACCCAACAATGACCGACAGAGCTCCATGGGTGATTGTAATTGGGGCGGGCCCAGCAGGTTTGTTGCTTGGGCTTATGCTGGGCCAGAAGGGAGTCCCTGTGCATATCGTCGAAAAGGGAGATCGAATCGACGACCGACCACGCGCAACGCACTATTCGGCCCCGGCTCTGCGTGAGCTTCACCGAGCAGGAGTGCTTGAAGAGGCTAGAAGACGGGGTTTCATCATCGAGAGCATCAGTTGGCGAAAGCTGGACCTGACGTACCTGGGCGGTTTCTCACAGAAGGTGTTCCCCAAGGACGACAAGGAACTGATGGTATGCCTACCCTTAGATAGGCTCGGCCAGCTTCTCGTGGAGCACCTCAACTACTTGTCCAACGTCGATATCAAGTATCGCCACGAGGTCGTCGATATTGGTCAAGATGACTGTTCTGCATGGGTCGAGGTTCAAACTCCGACGGGAAAGCAGAAGTTGAGGGCAAAGTACGTGGTCGGATGCGATGGAGCCAGCAGCAAACTCCGACGCTGCTTGTTTGGCGACAATTTCCCCGGCTTTACCTGGGAGGAGCAGATTGTTGCTACAAATGTGAGTTGACCTTTCGTCTGCTGCTCCAAAAGAAACTAAAGAAAGTCTTTGTACAGACATATTTCGATTTTGATAAATATGGATTGGACGATGCTAACTTTATCCTGCACCCGCAACACTGGTATATGGCGGCTCGTATATCCAAATATGGCTTATGGCGGATTACCTACGGCGAGGAAAAAGGTTTCAGCAACGAAGAACTCATTGCACGGCAAACCATGAAGTTTGAGAAATTCTTGCCCGGCAATCCCAAGCCGGAAGAAGGCAAGTACAAAGTGGAGAGCATTAGCCCATATCGTGTTCATCAGCGCCTAGCTGAACATATGAGGGTTGGTCGTGTTCTTTTGGCTGCTGATGCCGCCCATCGTAAGTTTAACAAAGCCTCTTTGAAGAGTGCTCGTCAAGATGCGCTCTGCCATTGAATGTCGCTGACTACGACCTGCAGTTTGCAACCCTTTCGGCGGCATGGGACTCACTGGAGGCATCGCCGACATTGGGAGCTTGTACGACTGTTTGATTGGAATCTATGAGCAGCGAGCCGATGAAAGCATTCTCGACAGATATGACGAGGTCCGCCGTGCAATGTACAACAACGTCATCAATCCAATCTCGAGCGCGAACATGCGGCGCCTCTTCTCCTTGGATCCGGACACGGCTACGGACAATGACGAATTTTTGATGGCGTGCAAGAGAGCACAGGCAGACGAGAACTTTTCTCGGGAATTTCAGCGTGGAGTCAACGCAATTGTGCATGATTTCACACAGTATTATAAATCGGGTTGAAACACCATTCAAGAGACGGAAGTGAAAGCACAGCTCTATCCAGATGGAGCTAGTTGTAGGTGAGATAATGGATTGAGCGTGTGATTCAAGTTCACATGTGGCTATTGAAATACAAAAACTGAATACATCCTAACCCACATCTCAGCTTCGTTCCACCCACCCATGTATGAACGACACAGTACTTGGTAGACTATGTGCTTGAGGACAGTAATCCTCCCCACATCCAGTACAGAAACTCTCCCCGCAATCATTCCCTCTTTGATAAGACGTGCCCGGGCAGGGACTGAAATAGGTTTGAAGAGGCGAAAGGACTTCCTGCCAACGGCGACACTGACCTAAAAACTCTTACTGGTTGCGCATCTATAAAATTCGCACTCTATCAACCAAGTTTTATATTATTTCTCCATTGCTTTCACCATCTCCCCCACCATGGCATTTATCCCCCGGGGAAAGATTGCGGTCGCTGTTGTTAACGCAGAAGGGAAAGGGGTGTTTGAGGAGGACCGTGTAGCCGAAGTCCACGATCTGCCCGGAAATGCCACTCTTAGACGGGTCTTCAAGGTAGACCAGGTGCCCGTCCCTGGCATCGCATACGAGTCTTCACATGCCATGGATGGCATCGCAAACAAGTCGGGTCTAGAATGGGTTGAATGCGAAATGCCAGTGGGAGCCAAAAGCCCAATGCACGCTACTCCGTCGATTGATTTTGGTACCATCATCACCGGAGAGGTCACGCTGATCCTCGACTCTGGAGAGGAGAAGACACTGAAGTAAGTTGCACTGATGCTGCTGAACCATTTTACATATCTCCATACTGAGCAGAATCCTCACAGAGCTGGAGACTTGTACATTCTGAAAGCGGCCGCCCATGCCTGGGAAAACAGAACGTCCCAACCGGTTCGTTTTACCACAGTCCTAGCAGCGTCGCGCCCATGAACTGGTGCGGTCAAGAGAATGCCCTTGATGCTCACTCTGTTCAAGTCTTGCATCCACAAGCAGGGTTATAACACGCGGTGGAAACGCCCTATATGCAGTGTAATAGCAGGTGGGATCAGCAGAAATGAAAAATTAAACCATGAATTGCATAATTAGTCTAAGGTTCCAATGGTGACTTCTGACGCGTTCTCAACGGTCATGTTGCGTAATTTGAACCTACCGACACAATCATGGATCCGATCCATCCTCCCACCACTGCTGGCGGTGGGGTAAATTCCGAACAGTCTCTTCCCCATGTCTCCGGCGAGGTAGCACTCAAGTTAGTCTTGGGTCTCCTCACCGGGGTATATATTCCAGCCCAACTCAATCGTTCTTTGTTCGTTTGAGGCGCTGCAAACGTTGTGAGGACACCATGGTCACCGAAAGCGTATTGTACGAGCACCCAGAACTCGGGAACCTGAAGGGACAGTCCCTTGGCGACGGGCTCGTGCAATTCCGCAACATCCTATATGCCACAATACCGGCTCGCTGGAAGTCTTCAGAGATCGTTAATGATCTACATGCACATTACAACAACAAGGGTTTCTACAATGCCACAGCATGGGGGCCCATACCGCCTCAACACCTCGATTCGATCGAGTTCGACTTTGGACTAATTCAGCGGCGTCTTCCACTCGATCATCCACTAGTCTGTGACGAAGACAAGTGTTTGAACTTGAACCTGACGCTCCCATCAGTGGAAGCAAAGAATTTGCCTGTCGTCGTATTGTGAGTGGAGCTAGTGGCATCTGAACCAGATTCTTTTCTGATCATGCTTGCAGCATTCATGGGCAAGCGATAGCCTTTCAATGCAGCTATGGTTCTAGTGTTAATTGACTTCAGAGGGGGTTTCTTCGTTGGATGCAACAGCTGGCCTCAATACGGTGAGCGCAGGTTTCCTGCAAGCACCGAAGGCTTGCTCATGAAAACAGATCTAGCAAGTCTTGTTCGTCTAGGCAAAAAGGATGGCAAGCCGGTTATAGGAGTCGGTATCAAGTAAGAAGCAACCGCATCTTCATTGCCTGAGCGCCTTTTCTGACGAGGGAAGCTACCGACTGGGATTGCTAGGCTTCTTGGCATCCCGGGAGATGTCTGGCAACGATGTTGTTGGCAATTTCGGACTTCATGATCAAGCGAACGCATTGCGATGGGTACGTGGCTGACGCTACCATTGGGGAAAGCGCTCTGACGACTTTATGGATTCAACGCCATATCAGAGGCTTTGGTGGTGACCCAGAAAATGTGACACTGTTCGGAGAGTCTGCCGGAGCCAGTTCGTCTCATATCCCTGTATACCAGATGTAATACTGATGATGTGCATACAGTCTCCATCTGGATGCACTTACTTCGAGGAGAGCCGCTCTTTCAGCGTGCCATGCCTATGTCAGGAGATCCCAGGCTTCGACCAGTCCAGTCGATACAGCAAAACGAACAGGTCTACGCCAGCCTTGCACAGGACATGGGCGTCATGAACGTAACGGAGTCAGAGCGCACCCGCCGCCTCAGAAGTATTCCCTGGCAAAAGCTCATCTCCTCGCCACTGAACATGCGCTGTTTCCCTTCCGAGGATGGTGGATTCAAGCCATTGCGCGAAAGCACGAAAGACCAGGAGCAACAGATAAAAGAGTGTCTCGGTCGGTGTAAGACAATAGTGATAGGTGATTGCGAATTGGACGTAAGCACAATGTGGCGTCTAGCTAATCTGATATGTCCGTTGACACAGGCTTTCTAGGCATCGGCCATGGCCCAAACTCTTCGCCAGCCAGAATGGTTCAAGAACTTTAGATTTTCATTCGAAGAGTTTTTTACCAGCGACGAAATAAAGCAAATCGTTAACGCATATGGCCTAGACCAAGAAGGTCCTGTTTCTGACCCTGTTCACATGGGACTTTTACAGTTTGTTACGGACGTGAGATTCTATCTCCCGGTGGTCCTGGCCCAGCAATTGGTGCCTGCTGATGCAAGCGTCCATGTTTACCACTTTCACGAGGTGAGCCGCGGCTCGATTCAAAGTCAACGGATGATTTAACCAAAGTATTAGCCAAATCCCTTTGACGGGCCGTTCAAGAATCGCACAGGACATGTTCTTGATGTGGCTTATACCATGCAGACCTATCAGCATCTGCTGCCGGAAGAGGCACGTTTGGTATCTTTACGCATGGGACGATATCTTCTAGATCTAGCGCACGGAGCCTTTGACTCTGTAGACAGTGACAAGAAGGAAAAGACAACCAAGGTCTATGATGTTGATCATAGCGTTCGTACTGTTCCACCAATGGAGTACGACACCAAATACCGCCGTGGCGTTGCACCGTTGCTGAAGTCTTTGGGAGACAAGCGCTTGATGAGAGCTCTTGAGCTGTTTCAGTTCGGCATACGATGAAGCGTGTCGTATCAACAGCGCCCGTCCGTAGTTATCTGAAGTATTTTAGAGTCAATCGCCATCTAGAGCCGTGAAATATATGAGCCATGTGTTATCTTGAGCAATCTAAAGCTACGATCTTCTGGTAACATTGCGGTTGGGATATATACGCCTCAAAAGTATAACAAAGTGTAGAAGATCACATATCTTGACCATTTGATATGGCTATCGAACTAAGAAAGTTGCACTCGTGATACAATGAAACAGACTGTGCTGAGATACTTCAGAAGTGCACTTGCCGCCTCGTCAATTCTTTGTTCCTTCGAGTCTGACCTGAGGAAGATCGCAATTTCATCCTGTGTCCCTTCTATTACATGATGTGACAGTTGTGTGGTCTTCAGAGCGCCTTTTACGTCTGTGGGAAGCTCTGCGATGATCTCTTCCATTCGCTCCTGTGAACCCGAAAGAGTTCGAGCATGAATGACTACACAATATCAACTCGCAACTCCTCAATTGGCTCAGTCACGACTTACAGACTAAGTGAGGTGCTTGTAGCGTAAATGCGCGCTCGACTTTGACCCAGAGAGGTTTTGGAGGTGACTTCACATTCGGCAGAAAATTGTTGATCAGCACGGCGTGTGCTGGGCGGAAATTGGGGTCGTCAATCAATTTATCGTGGTGTTCCCTAGAATTCCAATACACAAATAGATATGCTTGATCTGAACACCCTTGAACATGTGGGTATACGTGGACACCGAGCGATGGTTGCATTCCCTGCGCAACGGCTGCTTGGGCAGAGGCACGTTCAAATTCGTTGAAGGCGTCGACCGCTTGTTGCCCAGCGCCATCTCGTGCCTGCACGCCAAAGAACTCGCACAAGACCATTGCGAATTTGGGTGATTAAGGTCTAGTACAAATCTGGACGACTACAAGGTTTTCTACGGACCTAGCTCCGACTTCGCTCTCCCAATGCTAAATGCCCAGGTACACCACCTGATCTACTGACTCACTTTTTTTTTTATTGATTTCACCCCCACCCGAAGTACTTGATGGCGTGTGGGGATCTCAGACGCCTGTTCCATTGTGGGAGCCTCGAGCCAATTAGGCAGGCGGTCTCAACCACCCCGTTCAGACTCGGCTGTTCCTCTGATATCGAACCAAAGAACGGTCGGCGTGTCTACCCTTGAATAGAGCACTGCCCCTGTCTTTCTGCATGAGCATTCTTTCTACGATGACTTGGAAGAAAGGTCACCTTCTACACTATTGGAACAATGGCAGGCCCTGCACCGACTGGCAATGGCTCTGGTGAAAAGCCTTGGCGACAGCCTGCTGCCATTCTTCAAGAGATGTTGAATGATACTAATAAGTTGGTGCTCTGTCTTGGTGTCTATGATGGATACACTGCCAGAGTTGCCCCTAGACATTTCATTTGACGCGCTGTACGTGACAGATGCTGGAACGGCAGCTTCATGCTTGGGAGTGCCGGGCATGGGGATCATTAGCATGACGAAAATGGCTGGAAACGCCAGCATGATCGCAGGGCTCGACACACACATCCCAGTCGTCGCCGACGCTAATACTGGCTTTGGTTCCCCCATCTCGGTGGCCAGGACCGTCAAGACTAATATCGACGGCAATGTTGCAGCACTTCCCATCGAAGACCAGGCATTCATGAAGCGATCCGAACATCTTCGAAACAAAGAGCAAGCAAGAGAAGCCGTCAAGGCTCTCTCACCAATACCGTGACTCCTCAGAATTGTCCGCAGAGGCATGACGCCCGCTGTCACGGCGCAGGAGCTAAAGAGATGGGATTCAAAATCGTGCTTTGGCCAATTTTAGCACTGCCAGAAGTCTATAATTCTGTACGGCGAGCAACGGCGGGGCTTCATGATACTGGTTTTGTCAAGGAAAGAGAAAATCAGGTAGGAGGCATTTATTATGGCTTTAGTCTATTAGGCATCAATGAGTGCGCAGAATTTGATCCAGCTGCTGGGGGCATAAGCCTTAAAGGAGGTTTCTAAGAGTATTCTCAGTGATTGCGAAATGAAACTACATTACTGCTCGTATACATTCTGCCATTGCCGCCGTCGTTCAGAATCTCGTACCTCAAAGAGGCTGGCGCTAGTAGTGTCGACGTTTCCGGGCGCATAATACCAGAGAGTTTTCGTGATATGCAACAGTAAACATGCCTTAGAGTTTCTCACTGTTTTTGGTGAATCTGATCCCATGGACTCTACAATAGCTTAGTCAAGCTTGGATTGCAACTACTATATTCATCAGGGCCAAAGTTTGATGACACGGATGCGCGGGTTACTACAGGATTTAGCTGAGCTCACTCTGACAGCTAGCTCAATGCATCGTATTTCTTGCAACTCGATACTGTGTCTTTTGAACGTTTGTGGGGTTAGCCTCGAATTTGGTGGATCCTCCACATTTTCATGTTCGGGATTTAGGCGGCTTATTGGCGCCACAATATCAGGAGCAGAGAACGAGCGCTCCCCGGATTGCTAAGACGCATCTCTTATTGTCTCTCTCTAGAGTCCAATACAAGAGAACAGAAGTTAAAATAGGGGGAAAAGGTGATGGTAGACAGCTAGGGGCCACATCCTGAACATGGAGATTTATAACCTAGACTAGGAAAGTGTGCCCACCCCGTATATGCCTAGAGCCTCTGCTTCCCCACATGCGGTCTGGCCATCCGAGATTTGAACAGGCTGTCTCTTCTCAACTATTAAAATCTCGTCCATCGACCCTCGCAAATTACAGCCCAAACTACTTCTCAAAGTCATTGGAACCATACTAGACCGGTAAGATGAACTCGCAATCTTCCGTCCACGAAAGCGGCGAGGGCATCAGAGCGACCAAGGTCGACATGTGCTGCCATGTCGAAGAAGCGGCGGCGAATGATGGGGAGAAATTGCAGCAGGTCTTCACTCAGAACTCCGTTACCATCACACGCTCATCCTGGTGGGATAACCGAAAAGTCCTCGCTGTGTCCTGCTTCGTGAACTTTGCGGCCTTCGAATATGGCCTCGACCAGGGTACGGTCAATGGCTTCCAAGCAATGCCCGGCTTTCTCATGGTCTTCGGTTACAGAAATCCAGCCCTCCCAGGAGGTCTAGGCATCACTACCACGGTTCAGCAACTCATTACCAGTCTAGTGGCCCTAGGCATGCTGGTCTCTTCTCTAGCCTGCGGTCCTCTGATGCACCGAACTGGCCGCAGGGCAGGTATCTCCATCGGCTGCGCCTTCGCAATCATCAGCGCCACAGTCCAAATAGTTACCACAACCGTCAGTGGACTTTATGTTGGACGTTTGCTTCTGGGCCTCGGCAACGGCTTACTATTGACGGGCGCTTTTCTCTACATGAACGAAATAATGCCCGCAAACCTTCGCTCTCTCAACTATACCATTTACATCTTCTGGGTTAACCTAGGCAACCTTATCGGCTCCATCATCAACAATGCCACCTCGGTCAGACTCGACAGGGCCTCATATCAGATACCCCTCGGGACCTTATACATCATGGCAGTGATCCTTCCGCTCGGTCTGTTCTTCCTGCCCGAATCTCCCCGACTTCTTGCCCTCAAGGATCGCAAAGCCGAAGCAACGAAAGCTCTCCGATTCTTCAGAGGATCAAAGTGGACGGACCTTCAGATCGAAGAGGAAATTGCCGAAATCGTCCATGCCATTGAAGTGGACCGTGAGCTGTCCCAGAGTGCCTCCTTTGCTGCTCTGTTCTATCGACCAAACCGGAAGCGTTCTCTAATATCTATTGGCGTCTATCTATACCTTGCCGCCTGCGGCAGCCAATTCATTGTTCAGTATGGCATCTACTTCTTCGTCCTGTCTGGCGACACACATCCATTCCGCGATGGTGTCATCCTAGTCTGCATTGGCTTGTTTGGAGGTCTTGTTACACCTCTCTACACAGGAAGGGTCGGTAAACGCGTCATCCTCACCGTCGCACCTATCATTGGAGGCTTTTGCATGCTGGGAATGGGTATTGCATACACCACTCACGGCTTAGACAAAGTGGGCGCCAATACTATCCTGGCAATGTCCTTCCTCTACATGTTTATCTTCGCCGGGGCACTAGCACCGTTCGCCTCGCAGGTCGCCGCCGAACTTCCAAGCCAGGCTCTTCGTGGCCACACGCTGGGTCTTGCCTCAGCCCTCACCTATCTTGGTGGCTGGCTTCTCACATTCACGGTTCCGTATTTCATTAACCCCACAGCATTGAACTGGGGCGCTAATTACGGATACCTCTGGGTTCCATTCAACTTCCTCATCGCAGCCTTCACCTACTTCTGCGTTCCGGAGACCAACAAGCGGACTTTGGAGGAGATCGACGAGTGTTTCGTTCAGGGAGTGCCGGTCCGCAAATTCTCCTCCTACGAGGCCGTAGCTTCTCGGCAGGCTAGAGAGGATGTCATTAAGAGCTACCGGAAGACAGCACAACAAGATTGAAAAAGACGATGAAGATAGATCGCATGAAGAGGCAGAACTGTATCAAACTGTTGATGACCTCCTGCGAACCCTGTTACAGGAGGGCTGATCCTGTGTCGGCGATGTCAATCCTGACGATCTATGACCGTTCCTGAACAAGGATCGCTGGCGGTGTAGCAGTCTGGAATTGGTGACAGGATTCAGAAGAACTCTTCTGTTCACAGGCCCATCTGTATATGAACGACAAGCAACGCTCTCAGGGAGAACGCAGATAGACAGGACAATACATGCAATCCGTTTTTGCGTTCCTGGTCTAACACCTGGGACACTAGCTTGCTGTGCCACCGCGCTTGCCTGGATTCTGTGGTACAAACAAGGGGATGATAATATCTTGTAAGAGGAACCAGAATATCTTGTTGCCATTAAATACATACGGGCCAAGAGCGATTCCAACAAGCTTGTCGAGTAGGCGAAAGCAAGCGTGGCTGCCGCAAACGATGGGACAGCGACCGCGGTCCACGATATTTATGGCCCAGGCGGACACACCGCAAGAATGGAGATCTGGAGAGAAACGTATCTTCATTCGCCTTCGATGGGGAAACTTTAACGGCAGTCAAGAATTGTGACATGCTCCGAGATCAATGGTGTTGGGTGGAGTAATGGGATTCACTGCAAGACGCCGGAACTGTTCTTGGAAAGAAAGAAGCTGTACAGGTTGGTGGAAACAATGTTCCGAGACCTGCAGATTCCGGAGCGGCAGCCTAACAGTCGATAGAGGAACGAGCGCAGCAGATGATGGAAGACTCCGAGCCCGCTAGACACGATAGTGAGGACGACCATCGACAAAATGCTGTACAAGAGGATTTCCACCTGGCGGAGTGAGAAGGGAATTCCTCCCCAAGATGTTCAAGTTGTGCAGCCAAACCACTCGCATGGAGGAGCAGATATAGGACAAACCAAAGTAGCGGCGCGGCTAATGGATGACAACGAGACGGACGATAAAGTGCCTGTAGCTGACGTTTCTCATGGCCGATAATCGGTGGGACTATCAGCTCAGGGAGCTAGCAATAAGAACGAAATTGACAAACACAATGAAGTTAACGAATTCTGCTACGAGTCAAGCGGCCTCGGATCATGCTCCGCTTCAAGCTCCCCACAATCACGCAAATGGCGCGAAGTATAAAAAGGGAAGGGAAGAAGACAGGAAGGGAGCCAGCTGGTCAGGGAGTCATCGTCGGCCATCTTGGGGCCCTTTCACTGGTCGCCTTACGGTCTCGGAAACAAACAAAAAAGCAGCTAACCGCCGATTGGCAAGCAAAAAGCAAGCAAAAAGCAAGGAAATCTGTCAGTTCTAGACATTATTAATTTTCATTGCTCAAGTCGATAACCTGGCATGAGAAACGCGGCGCGCCCTGGTCCCCGCCCCGGATTCCCGTATGCTACTGTACTTCTTATTCGAGTCTGATCTCCTCTGGGTTAGAGAGCGAGATAAGTGCCACCACTCACTTCTCCGTCTCTAACGAGCTGCAGGACCTTCAGAAAGCTGAATTCTTCCCACGGCGCTAATGAGCTCAGAACCCGTATGCGGAGATAGATGGCTGGACCATTTGTCGTGCAGACGACACGTGTAGACGAGTCACAGCTTAGCAGGATATCACTGAAGGTTCACAAAAATCCCACCATCTGCGAGTGTAGCCATGTCATCAAAGGAATTCATACCGTCCGAGACAAAAGGGCCACTTACCAACTAATATCTGAGCACCAGTCTAGAGCTCGTGAGCAATGGAATCTGTGTCATAATCTAAGACAGAAACTCTCTTACCACATATTTGGACAAATCACTGGCAAGAAACACTGCCGGGCCGGCGACCTGGGGATCTCGTCAGCATCACAGATCAAGGGATCTCCTCTACATCTCCACATACATCTGCCGGAAGGCCAACCCTTTTTAGACATGTTCGGCGCTCAATTTCCTTCCATTTGTCGTTCCGCGCCAGATCACATTTGTTCAACTGCGTCCTGATCGTGCCAGGAAGCAAGGCGTTGCATCGAATTCCGTACGGTCCCAGGGCAACGGCAGATGATTGCATCAGGTTCAGCACGGCAGCTTTGGTTGGCGTGTAATGCACAAGGCCTCCAGAGCCTGTGAGAGCGGAAACACTGGATATCCCAATGATGGAACCTCCGGTCCCTTGCGCCTGCATGATCCGGCCCGCGGCACGGACAGTATAATAAGTTCCCGACACGTTGACTTCGACGTGTCTCTGGATAAAGTCGTCTGGAGTCGACAAGAACTCGTGGAATTGAGCAATCCCAGCATTGGCAACCACAATGTCCAGATGACCAAAATGCTGCGCCGTGCGGACCAAGAACGCCTCCGCCACATCTGGGTCTGAGATGTCTCCAGCGTAAAAGAAGAGCGGAAACTCCTCCTGGCTATTGTCGCTGCCCACTTGCTTGCACAGGGAGCGTTGGTCTTTCTAAAATACCAGTCAAGGGTTAGCTATTCACTGTCAGAGTTCAAATGGCCATTTGGAGTACTGAGGACAAGGGCTGTCGCTGTTTTACCCTCTCCAGAAAGCCATTATGCGCTCACCTCTTCAGCTGGCAAACCAAGATGATTGACAGACACCTTTGCTCCTTGCCTAGCGAACTCGACAGCTATTGCCCTTCCGATACCTGTAAGGCCGCCAGTGATAGCAGCTACCTTCCCTTCGAGAAGTCTTGCCATTATCGTGATTGTGCAAGACCTGCATCGTTTGCGGCAGTTCCTTTTCTCCTGCGTTTCTTTTATTGAGCGTCGCTCACATTCGGTCCGAGATGAAGAGAAGCGGCCTACGTCTCTCAGAAGTTCCTGAACTGAGAAAGTGCTCCATCATTCTCTTTGAGGGTGCTAAATTCGTACCAGTCTGCCCAGAATTCGCATCGGAAATTTGCATATGAGAATCGTTGGCTTGGTAGCCCGAGAGACGCCGAAAATTGCTGACCATGGTTTAGCTTGGATCTGCAGAACCGGGTACAACTAGAGCAGAGAAACTGCGGGGATCTGGGGAAGGAGGCGAGGAGTATTCGACAAGACTTTAAAGGCTTTACCTCGTACCTTAGGGGTACCTAGCTAGTCTAAATAGGGGCACTAGGGGCAAAGTCTTATCTCCGGGCTTTTCATCCGGGGGTCTAGTCGTCCGCAGCAACCGTAAAGCCTCTATCATTTAATATACATATAATGCCATTTGTCCCTAGCGCGGCAAGATTTGATGCACGCCGAGACGCCTCCGTATCACAGACTCGCTTCATCTGCAGCCGATCGAGGTACTTCGGCCTAGCTCATTCTCCTCTAGGTGTTCAAGGTCCCTTATCCGACTGCCAGCTCGGTGAAGATGTGACCGAAGTATATCCTTCATCTCTTGGACAACTACGTATAAATCATCGTTTCTGAGCTCTCATGCCCTTTCTTGTGACAATGATGGAAGGTGAATATCGTGTGTATTGAACCTGAACCTATATTCAACACTTCATAGCCGCAATCCAGCCGGCCTTGTCCGCCATGTCTGCCCAGATCTACTACGAGAAAGACGCTACACTTGACTTGCTTGACGGAAAGAAGGTCGTTTTCATCGGGTATGGTAACCAAGGTCGTGCCCAGTGCCTCAATCTCAGAGATGTCAGTACCTCTAGTTCAACATTCCATGCATTCCTTTCCTTCTAAATAGTTTGATAGACCATCGCACAGCACCAATTCCAGCAACCACCCAAGATACTGGCATCCAGTCTCAATGACAAGTATGCTGCGACGTGCCGTGAAGACGGCGTCGACTTCACCACCGATTTCCGGAATGCCGCATCTCAGGCGAACGTACTCTTCCTTTTAATCCCGGACCACTTCCAGCCTGGCCTTTTCAACGACCAACTTGCGCCTGTGCTCCAAAAGGGCGCCGTCATCGTCGTCGCTAGCGGATACAACTACTTCTATAAGAAGTTGAAGATTGACTCCACACAAGACGTCGTGATGGTCGCTCCGCGCATGATCGGCACAAGCGTTCGCTCGCTGTTCGTAAAGGGTCAAGGGTTTCCGTGCTTCATCTCCGCCGAGCAGGACGGGACAGGCAAGGCGCATGAATGGAGTCTCACATTAGCCAAAGGCATCGGCGCGCTGAGAAAGGGGGCCATCAAATCAAGCTGCCGCGAGGAAACCTTGATCGATCTGTTCGCCGAGCAGGCTCTCTTCCCCACCATCATCACGGTGTTCGAACAAGCATACACCGTGCTGAAGAACCTGGGCTGCAGTGACGAAGCTCTGTGCTTCGAGCTCTTCTTGTCCAAGGAACCGGCAGAGATCTTTGAGAAGATGGCAGACGACGGCTTTGTGAGACAACTTGTTCACCATTCCACCGTAAGCCAGTACGGTCAGCTGAAGGGGGCACTGAATTTCCCACAAGACATCATCAGGCCTTTGGTCAAGGAATTCTCCCGCGTAGCCGAACAACGGGTGCTCGATGGCAAGTTCGCGGAAGAATTCACCTCCATAGAAGAGAATGATACCAATGGTGTGCAGGTCGAGCTGGATAGGTTGTACAAACAGGCCGAACAGAGTGACTTGGCCAAGGGCGAGGCCAAGGTCCGATCGAGGCTTGGGTTGTGAAACTTTGACAGGGTTGATACAAATTCGCTGACGAATTTGCGGTGTAGATGTGGTTGCTGCCCCCAAGGCGTTGAGTTTCCAGAATGAATACCTTACAAAGAGGAAAATATGAATGCAAATACAAATTACAAGTAAAGATCAGCGGCACACATTATTTGTATATGCATGCGCCTGTAGGTTTAGCCAAATACGCATCAGACTCGCCATATTCAGCTGAGCAAGAGATAGAAACTCAGCCGGCGCTTGCAAGGTGGGAAATAGCGATTATATGAAGTTATCATGCAGGGATAGACGAGTATATTATATACATTAGGGAATTCCCTACAGCCATGTGCGCACTTTACACTGAGTTGTAACAACGTGCCTCTGTCTCTCTTAAATCAGCCTGACCAGGATCGGACAGACAACCAAGGAAAACGTGTGACATTTCGACTGCCTGCAACGTATGTATCGCGTTGGTGTGTCATAGATCGACTACTCAATCGTATGCTATAGTCATTCCATTTCTTCTTCCTTTCCTGACATGTCAAATCTATTTTCTTAAATTTTCTCGCAAATATTGCTTTCCTTGACCCCTGCAACAACACGGTGCTTGATCACCATCACTGCGATATAGTCTCGAGGTGCTGGCTTGAAGTGGTTTGTGTCATGACCTTGACATCTCGAATAAAATGCTCTGCTGCGCCACGATTGGTACCCGTTTCAAGGTTGTGCGGACGCTCCATCATGCTTCTGAAACCAGGTAGTGTGCGGCCATTCTTTCCCACAACAACAAGACGATCGCAATCTCCAAAGTACATGTAGTCAATTTCTTCGAGCGTTCTCCCGGAGGTTTCTGGGTGGAATAACCAGACAACAGCTGCCATGGCGAGATTGATCACGAAGAAAATCATGTAAGTCTTCCATCGGATATTGCCGATGCTGATGGGCGTGATCTGGACGATCATGTAGTTGAAGATCCAATCTGCTGCAGTGGCTATGGCTGCCGAGTGCGTCCGATGCCTGAGCGGCATGAATTCGGCAGGGTAAAGCCAAGGTCTGCAGATTGTCAGAGGACCTGTACCGATAGTTCGGTTGGTGGGGGATATGCTTACATAGCCAGCCAACCAACGGCGAATATAGCTTCATAGGCAAAAAAGAAGAACAGGGATGCTTTTGCCTTTGCGGGCGTAACATTCCTCTGTAGCAATCCAGCCTGCGGTGTGGTTAGTACATGACACCATATGGATTGCGAGTCCACCTACGCAAAGAAAACAGAGGGCTTGTAGTATTGCACCAACAATCAATGGTCTCCGACGGCCCATCTGGTCCAAGAAAAAAACTTGCGAAAATGAGAAGACCCAATATGTGACAGCAATTCCGGCTGCAACAAACAGGGCCTCCTTATAGCTGAAGCCCATATCGGTAGTCAGGGTGTGGGGAGCATAGTAGACGAGGACGTTAACTGTTTCTCTCGTCAGAAATCGAAGCACAGCGAGTATGTAAAATTCCAAATCTTTTGCTAGAGGTTCTTTGTGGAAACTCACTACCGCTCAGCTGCTGCATAGCCTGGATACCAATCACCAGGATGTACCGTCGTCGGATCTTAAGCGGCCCATTGTGGAAGATTTCTGTAATTTTCCAGGGTCCACCCTCATTCTCGATGGCCAGAGCTTCGTCGATCAGCCTCTTCTGCTCGACAACAGCGGGGAAATCACACGGCGTGTTCTTTCCGTGTAGCTGTGCAAGGATATCTATGGCCTCTTCGTGCCTGCCATGTTTGATAAGCCATCGTGGAGATTCCGGAAGGAACTTCGTCCATATTATCTGCAACATGATAAAAAAGCCTTGGAATGCAATGGGTAATCGCCATTGAACCGGGCCTGTTGTATAAGACAGGCCGATATTGAAGTAGTAGGCAATGATGATCCCGAAGGCAATCAGGTTGCCAGCAATTGACACATCTCTGCCTCGGCGTTTAGCCGGAAGCAGTTCACAAAGCCATAATGGTGTTGTGGCGGTGTTAAACCCATTGCCGATACCGCTGCAAGCAATCAGTAGTCGTTTCAGACTCGAGCAGGGACCTTGCTTACCATATGACTCGTCCCACGATCATCTGTGGGACTCCAAAAGACGAAGCCTGCAATGCTGCACCGATGAACATGGTAACTGCACCGATATAGAGACATTTTTTACCTCCCAAAGATTCTCCGCAGATAAACACAGCGATAGCACCGGCACAACATCCAATTCTGGATATGGTCAGCCGGACAATAATTGCTTGCGAGCGGGCGCCTTACTCGTATATGGCGTTGATAGTACCCAGCAGACTCGAAGAAGGGTGGTTGAATTGATCAAGGAACTCTTCTGCCGCATTCAGACCCTGGCCCATGTCAGTAACCACATCCATCGGTCCCACGAGGTCAAGAACTCACCCCAAGAACTCCTTGGTCATAGCCGAATAGGAGAAATCCAATTGAGCCAGCAACGGCAATCTGTATAGCTAGCAGTCGTCCTTGTGCTCCGGCAAAATATCTTCTTCGAGGTATAGTGGCATAATTCAACGTCGGTTGCAGAGACGGGCTCCTGGTTGTTCCTTCCGAGGTGATGATCTTCTCGTCGCTGGCCATCTTGGGATGAAGAGAGAGTCCTTGGTCTTTGGTCTGGAGTGAGTTGGAGGATCTGGCATATCTACATGAGCGACGATCCCGTCACATTTATACACCTATTAAACTTTCGACCTTGGATTCCCATGTGGTACACTTAGCCGCCTCGCCGCCTCGTAGGGAGCAATATTTTGGAAAGTGCGCCGAAAATTTCCTAAGAGAGTATAGAGGATGCCCGTGTATCGGCTCATCCACCCACGAGCTGATGCGGAGAGTCTGGGGTGCATCCCTCGGCCCCATCGACAATAAGCGGGGTACAAAGCGTGCTCAGTATCAAAGCAAAGCTGTTAAAACGATCCTTTCCCGTCTCTCAATAGATCGATCCGTGCGGCAAAAATAACTCATCACAGTAAATTTCGACGCGGATGGGAGATCTATGCCGAAACCTCGCCGGACTGGTTGGTAAGGAACTGTTGTGCTGCAATGAATGAGAGAAAAATACAACTGACTACCTCAGTGTCGCCTGCCGTGAGCGACATCTACGATGCAAGTGTACACTCATTCTCGCCATTGCCTTCATCTGCACCCCCACTACCGAGTACTAATCCCTGGGAGATTTTCGAGTTCTAACACCGCACCTCCTAGGCGATCATGCGGTTCCTAGCTGCGCCAACTGTGCCAACTCCAAAGCTCCAAGGACATGTACCTATGGTAGTCTGAAATTAAGACATAGTAAATATTCTAATGCGAGAAGCGGACGAAGCCACTCTGAGAGACACTACAATCTGCTCTCAGTCAGTCATGGTAAGTCCTAAGCGGCAGCGTCGGGATCTCGCCCACACTCAGTATCCCTTCGCTTCTCATTCCTCACGCCACACGTCTCATTTGAGACTAACGTATTACCCAGCAAATGGTTCAGGATCCTGGCCTTCAGAGAGCTTCGTTGATGGAATTCAAACTGCACAAGGCCCTGGAACAATTGTTGAATCTAACCCTGACCATGTCCCTGCGCCAGACCCCTGTGAGAGCCCAACTTCAGGGACGGTGGACAATAGTCCTTCAACATTCTTTAGGCATGAGCTGCCACCAGCAGGAGACCACTTCCAGTTAACAGTCGAACCGAGCAGTGAGACACAAGATGTCAATGCCAGTGACACGGAATGCTCTCTTTTCCAATTTTACAAAAGTTATGCGGGGGTCTGGGTAAGTTTTGAGCAAGATCGTTCCCTGCAGCTTACCGAATCGCAGTTGTCGATCACTAATAGGTGTGCTTAGCTTGATATTGTCACTGCAGAGCGTCATCTCAGTCAAACTGTTCCGAGACAGGCGGTGACGAGCCCAGTGCTATACTATGCATGTCTTTCCTACGCCTCAAATATCATGAACGCGAATAAAGAGCTTGACGAGACGACCAAGGAACAGTACCACAGCAAAGTCATCCACATTCTAATTGATTCACTCTCATCGTCACCTAACCCGGAATATGACTCAAACCTATTGGCCACAGTAGTCATTCTTCGCATGTCAGAACAATTTTGCGAGATTGATAAAGATGTGCGTCATCACCTTGCCGGCGCTTCTTCATTATTCACTTTGCGAGGATCCATACGCAAATGGTCGGTGCACGACACCGATCTTGCGGGGACATCATTTTGGATATATCTTCGAGAAAGCCTCCGACTATGCTTTCTTAACGAGGAAAAGTGCCAATTCGATTTGGACCTGATTGAAAAAGAATCCGCGTTTCTTCCAGCCTCTGAGGAGGTTTGGACTAATCGAATTACCTACATCTTGGCACTAGTGTGTAATTTTGCTTTTGGCAAACATACAAAGACCCAGACAGTTCCAGATGCGGCAGAGTTGAGGAAAGCGATCAATCTATGGGCGAGCAAGGTCCCAGCGACGTTCCGCCCTTGGTGTTTCCGGGAGGGCAAGTCGGGTCCTTTTCCAGCGATCCATTTTCTAAGCACATGGCACGGTAAGCATACAGCCCTTGTAAACTGTATCTTTAGTTCTCAAAAATGCTGATACCGATGATCATTAAGAGGTGGCATGGCAGCATTACTATACCGCAAAGATCATCTTGGCTCTGGAAGGGCTTCAGGTGCATGAGAGCACTAACATTCTGGAGTTGAATCGATATACCGAGAATCAAATTCTAGGACCGACGAGGAAGCTGTGTGGTATTTGTCTGGCCGCTAAAGAAGTCGGCTCACAAATCAATGGAAGCCATTTGGTATCGTGGTGCGGACAATTTTTTACTGGTAAGCAGGAGCAGAGACAGCTTATCGATTGGCTAGAACGGACAATGCATGCATCCAAGTGGCCTAACAGAACATGTATCGAGCGTCTGCAGCAAATATGGGGTGGGATGCGGTTGAAGTGGGCAGATGCGCCCATCCAAACAATATCTCACTCATGAGCCACCCATTTGTGGATTACACTACAAGCACTCACGACCAACAACCCATGCTTGGTATATTCCGGCGTTCGGGGCACACACCGCCCCTCACAGACACAGTCTCCGCGGGTGCGCTAATCCGTCGAAAATTACCATCTTAAGAAATTGACCGAAAGTTCCACAGGTCTGGAGGTGTGCCACACTTCAGTCTTGCCTTTACAATCAAACAATATGTGACTTAAATGAAGCTGCTTGTACGTCATTCAAGTATTCCATCTCCCACTCCTTCTGCGTTGGTAATTGACTTCAAGAACAAACATTTTTATATACGCTCTCACAGCCTTTCTACTGCGAGTCATACTGAGTTAGGAAGAGAATAGGCCACATTGTCAGGACTTGAAGACAATGCACGGTGTTGGTATGTTTGTTGCCCCACTGTGTCATGCTCATGCTAATAATCACCATGAAGTACTGGTCCTCACAGCGCTAGTAGCCTTTGCGCTCGGTTTGCCAATATGGTTCTTGATACAGTGGTTGTCAGATCCCCGGAAGCTTCGGCGGTTTCCTACGCCATCAATTGTTGCCCTCACGCCGTTTTGGCTCATGTACCACAGCTCCCGTGGCAGAAGATACGCAGCTGTTGACGAGGCCCATCGCAAACTGGGCCCTGTTGTGCGGATTTCGTCAAACCACATCTCTTTCGCCAGTCCCCAAGCTTTCAAAGAGATCTACAATTACGGAAGCAAGATCGCCAAGGACGACTTCTATGAAACCATCGCTGCGGGAAATCCCTCGATGGCTCAAACGGCAAGCAAACTAGAGCACGCTACAAAGAGACGGAATCTCTCGTACGTTTTCGCTGCTCAACACATTACGGCAATGGAGCCACGAGTCATGCGTGTTGTGGAGAAGCTTTGCAGGAACATTACAGCCAAGTCCCAAGGCCAGCCCATTAGTGATGACGACAACTACCGGTGCGTTGACGGGGTATTTGATCTCCGTCCATGGCTGAACATGGCTTCCTTTGACGCCATCACGTCGATGTTTTGGTCCAATGAATACGGTTTCCTGGATAGAGGAAATGATAAGTGCCCGACACAGTCGGCTTCAGGCTCCATTACCCAGGTGAACGCCATGAACACCTACCATTCCGCCGTCCACTTCAATGCCTGGTTAGCACATCTACCAGAGCGTTGGTACAAACTAGGACGTCAGATTTTGAAGTACAGCCACGGACAGCTCGCCGGGGACCATTTCAGTGGTATGGCAAGATATCTGGTTAACGAAAGACTGCGGTCACGACCTGCGGAGCCAGACCTTTTCAGTTCTCTCCCACTCGAGGCTAGCGAGAAAAGGCCAGTGCCCATGACATTTGACGAGGTCCTTGCCGAGTGCACGACAATGCTGGACGCCGGAAACGATACCACCCAGACCTCACTCACCAACTGCATGTACCAGCTCGCCCGCCAACCTGAAAAGCAAAGGAAACTGCGCAGGGAGTTGTTACAGGCGTTGCCGCTCTCAAAGCGCCCCGTGGCCAGCTACGCAGACCTCCAAGGCATCAAATACCTCCGGGCTTGTTTAGACGAGTCGTTCCGCGTCCGTTCACCACTGGGTTTCGGCCTTCCTCGCAAAGTCATCGAGCAGGGTGTAGTCATCTCGGGTCATGATATCTATCCCGGCACTACAGTCAGTGCCCCTCTCTATTCCTTGCATCTGAACGAAGCACTATTCAGGAATGCTAGAGAGTTCATCCCCGAACGCTGGCTGCCGAACGAGATCGACTTATCATTCCACACATCAGACGAGGAGCACAGAAACCTCAAAGACTATGTTCTTCCATTCAGCCTGGGATCCAGGGCGTGCATTGGCCGTAATTTAGCATACATGGAGCTGAGCATCGTCATTGCCGCGCTGATCATGTCTTTCGAGTGGCAATTGGCTCGCCCAGATGAAGAGATGGTAACCATTGAGAGGTTCAACAGTAACCCCAAGGAGCTGCTCGTCAAAGCCCAGAAGTTGGATTTGGCTTGACGAATAGATCGATTTTGACCAGCCCAACGATGCAAGAGCCCTAGGCCATTTCTCGTGCTTTTGAGGTGTGTAGGCACTCTTATTTAGTCTCACCAGCCTGCTGCCCTCGGCATTTGGGACCTCGAAATCCCCCGAAAATATTCGCCGGTCAGTTGTTCCTAGCTTCTAGTATAGGTTATTACGAATTCTTAGATTCTCCAGAGGTTGCACGGTCCTCAGCTCCGTGACTGAGACCTATGAGAATCAATTTCCAAATCAAACCCCTTAACATAACAGATGTAAGAGTGTCCATGTCTGTTTTCTCCCTAAGAAGTGTTGGGCCAATCTAGAAGTCAATAGTTGATCGGTTAGAAAGGAAGAGAAGTTCTATCTATGACGGTAGAGAGTTTAAATACTAGCTGGTGCCGCAGTGCCAAGAGATCCTGGAAATAACCCAATCGGGCTAGTCCAACAAGAAGATTCATTGTTATATATAGAGATTAGCCTGTAAACAGAGGAGTTCTCCTGAAGCCTGCCACTTTTTCCAGCCTGTTGCAATGACAGCAATCTCTGTCAGAGACGGTGTTAATTGACAGGATTAGAGTTCCTGTAACAGGATTGATAAGAGGATCGTCAAAAGTTGCACCCTCTTCGCCGAAAGATTGTTGACGTAACACAAGACAAACTCTAGCGCGTCTGGTATCTTCATAAAGGGTCTGTACTAATGTGCGGCTATGTATCTGGAATAACCGGACCGTGGACCCCGATACAGCGCAACTTGCAGGTGAGATCAGTATCAATGGTATCTTTGCACAACGCACTTCATCATCGTAAGCGAGAAAACCATTGCTCCGGACAAGGAATCCTTTGATTTTGTTTCTTGCTCCCAGCCCCAACCACATCAATGCTTCCAAATGTGCGTTCGACCTATTGCTGGTGTCTGTCAAGCAACAACCATACCGTTGATGTCGACTTTCACCTTGCCCAAGTAGAACCCGTCCGAGACGGCAGTTTCCCATTCCTTCAGTAGCGTCTGCTTCCTCTGCTCATTTCTCGGAAGAAACCGCACCTTATACTTCTTGAAGGATGTTATCATGCCGGGTTCATCCGACTCAGGAGACAGATCCATCGCTTCTTCCTTACCATCTGCATCCAGTGGTGGAGCTATTTGGAATGCCCATAGAATTTTGGCGATAGTTATAAAAAGACTATTTTCGGCAAGATGCATTCCCGGACAAATGCGGCGGCCAGATCCGAAGTTGAAATGATCGCGCGCATACGGGTCGGCCATTGCTGCATAAACACCGGCCTTTAGAGGGTGGCCGAGATATCGTTCTGGCTTGAAAACAAAGGGTTCGTCGTATCGGTCAGGATCGAAGTGTAGAGCATAGGTCGCCACTGATAGGACGGTGTTCTTCGGAATAAAGAAGTCCTTGTACTTCACATCTGCCGTGGTGTAATGTGGTGTACCGAAGCGAGTTATGGGTCTCATTCTTGGAATCTCCTTGACTATGGCTCGGACGTAGGGGAGCTGGGCCTCATCGTTGAATGTAGGAAATCGATGGTCCCCAATGACGGCGGATAACTCCTCGTTTGCGCGCTGCTGGACTGCTGGCGACATGGCGAGATACTTAATACAGCTGTTCAAAGTGGCAGAAGTTGTGTCGGAGCCTGCTTCGATCATTGCTGTGATTGATTGTCAGCGTTCTCGTCGGACTTATTTCCGCGGACTGTGTTTGCGACGTATGGTACGATAAAGAAAACGAGACACAGGAACGATAGAGACTCACTGCCAGCGACAAAAGCACCCTGCATTTCAGAGAAATCTTCCTTCTTCTGTTCTGATTCGATGTATTGCTTCACAAAGCACTCCGGTGCTCGTTTCTCTGCGATCTGCTGTCGAAGGTTTCTCCAGTGCTTGAGCCATATGTGTGCTTGACGACGGTGATATTCAAGCGCCCGCTCTCGCCACCACTGTAGCCATGTGGGGAGTCTTGCTAAAGGAGGAAACAAATCTGCTATAAATTCTCCAGGTACTAGGGAACGTGAAAAGTCGTCCATTTCGGCGTACACTTCAATATAATCCTCGCGATCCTAATTGTAGGAAGGTTAGGCTGAGGATTTCCAATATTATTGGCCTTCCACCTACCCATGTTGGAACTCGTTTCCCATACGTTGATGTCATCACTACAGATGTAGTGTATCGTCGGACATGCATATAAAATTCCTCCAGATTCTTGTTGTTGACAAGCAGGTCATACAGGAGCTGTTTTGCTTCGAATTCCTGGCTTGGTTTGAAAACACCCGAAGCCTTGGGCGTTAGCAATTTGTGAACGGTCGCGCGAAGTTTGCGCCAACGAAGCGTATAGCTCATCAGGACTAGCCGAAGCCCACCAGACACTACATCAGAGGACACTGGCCGAGGAGGCCTGCCCGAGGTGATGCCCGATTGACTTTCGAGAATCTCTTTATGCGCTTCTGGGCTGCTGATGAAGACCCATGTATCCCAGCCCAGATTAAGACGGAAGAGTTCCCCATACTGCCTGGCCCAGACGTTGATCTCTCGCTGTGGTTGCGATGAAAGTTGCAATAAGTTTCCCACGAAAGGAAGGCCCCGAGGCCCAGGAACCTTACGGAATCCCCGTGGCGGTCGCTTTCTGAGCCACGACGAGACTCCCAGCACAATGACAGATAAAATCAACAGCTGCGATAGGTGATGCAGATACATTGCTGGGGCGGATGGTTGGCTTATTTGCAGTGTAGTTATTGCTGACAAGGAAAGTCTACTCAAACCTCAAAGTTGGTTTGAACGGTGAATTGCGGTACGAAGGGCTCCAAGTAAGCTCGTTCGCAGAACAAATCGGTCTGAACTTGGCGAAAATGCCCTATTACATACATTCATAGTGGGCGGCGTGATAGCGTCTGTGTTCATGTCTCGCGCTTTGGGTCTTACCCCACAAAGTGAGGCACAGTCGTTAACTTCGGAAGTAGCCGAATTTGGTTCCACCCCGAATCCCACTGGCGAGGGTACTGTAAGCGGGTTAGTGCAGTGCGGGGATTACTCCGTAAAAGGGATGAGCCACCCGTACCCAGTAGTTCAGTTACAGTAGCCTAGCACCCCGCAGGCAGGGCATGCGCGGAGAGAGTTTTTCAAGATTGAAAATGTCGCCAAAGTGCGGCTAGGGGGCTCCCAGCTTGCCCTGCCCATTGTGCCGCCCAGCCAGCAACTCACCACCCGCCACATCGAAATCTGCATCACCGGCATTTCAGGGATTACTTTTTATCCTTCTCTCTTTTGAGTATGTTAATCCAGTCGACTGCGTTGTTGGTGTTGTGAACGGGGCCTCGTGACAAGTATATAGCAAAGAGCTCCACGGCTCTATCATAGAATGACAGGATTCTTGGTCTTTTTGGGCGTTCCCTGAGGGGCTGAGGACCTCCTCCTGACAGTCGGCCCAAGAAGAGCCGGGGTTATTCGAATAGTGTTAGCTGATTAGCCGGTCATGCAGGCTCCTTCAATTACGAGTGTGTCTCCTGGCCAACCTCTACCAAGTAGTGCATCTGGCGGATTCCGGCGTCCCCCCTGGGGTAATTCCGGAGCTTGACATCCTCAGGTTTCGGCCTGCCTAGTGACCTCCACTGGACCTTAGGAGTCCCCAGGCCACCGCACATCTTAATCCAACCTCAACGATCTCTCTGCGTTAGGCTAGAGATGCAGCATAGTAAGGACGGCAACGCAGAACTCGCATCAGTTGCGTGACAACAAAACGGACACCGTCTGTTATGGATGCATCATCTCTTCGCTTGCGGCCGTCGGTAAGAAAAAGTCGATCATCCCAGCAGAGAAACCCCTCCAACAATGACCCGAAGCAGTGAGTCACCGCCAAAAAAAAAATATTACTGGAAATCACCCGTTGACTTTCGCAGGTGCCAGCTCGCAAGATTCAAGAGATCGATCTTGTACCTGTCACTACTGTGGCAAGGGCTTCATTCGCACTGAACATTTACACCGCCATGTCATGTCCCGTGTGTCTGCACCACGAAGAATCCTTCTGATGTTGTAATCCGTGTTCTGACTGGCAGAAGACGAGAATAAGAAACCACATGGATGCACGGCATGCGGTTCCAGTTTCGGCAGGGCCGATGTCCTTCAACGACACAAAAAGAAGTGCCTAGCGCATCTACGTCTCATCGCCGCCACTCAGCAAACCATCGCTGAACGAGAGAGCGAAGAGCCTCCCAATCGTGGGGCGAACGACATTTTCAGTAGCACCGGCGCACAGCCAGGCCCTTCATCGTGCGTACCCAATCTCAAGGCTCGAACTAGACTAAGCTCTTCATCAGAGTTGTGCATGGTTCCAGTACCGGACTCGCAAACACCGTTCAAGTGAACCGTTGTCCGTGAGTCTAGTGTTCCTCAGGGAGCAGACTCATGCATATTGACGCGCTGACGCCAGGGACCAACCTTGCCTTCCTTCTATCCGCCCAAACGATCCTCTCGTTCAAACGCTGCTAAGGGTAAGTCTTTCTGTTATCCGCAAAACCGTCAGACCTTTCTGACAGACTGTCCAGACGCCAGCTGTCCCATTTAACAATGTTATGATTTCTCCGTCATCGACCTCCATGACGGATCTCGGCAACGTCCAACCCACCTCACCAGCCAACGTGCTCTCAACCGCACTTCCTCCGCCGGCCATTTTCAATCAGACAGGCTCCAATTCCGTGATTCCCTCGAGTGCAGTATCTGAATCCTTCCCCCAGCAACCGGACGCTGCGAACGACGCCGCAACTCATTTTGCCTCAAACGGATTATCTCAGCCCACGACGTGGAATATGACCAGAGATATAGTCAACATAGATACTATGGACCTCAACGTGGATGATCTAATGTTTCTGGAGGACTCTCTATTTCCAGATTTCCATTACGACACTAACAAACTCATACCTCCTCTTCATCAGGGGCACTATGCGAACGGTGAGGATAATACGCCGTCGGGTCCACGACAGATTCTACTCAGTTGCACTAGACAAGTTACGCCTTCGCCAGAAGAGTGTAATCAACAGAGCCATCAGCAAGCCCAGAATGTCGGCGGTAGAGTGCTTCGACTGCCTCAGGAAGACGTCAACACTTTCGAAAAGAACACCCTGGATATCGATAATTATGGCCTTATCTCGAATTTTATATTTCCCTCACGAATACGGATGACACGGCTGCTCAGTGCATATTTCGAGTACTTTGACCCTCATGCACCCATCGTTCACCGTGCATCCTTTGATGTTCAAAAGAGTCATCGTACGTGTAGCTGAAGCTCTAGTCCACCACTATTTTGATGTACTGACAACGATTATCTAGCTGCTCTAGTCCTGGCTATGCTCGCCATCGGCGGTCTCCATGTCTCCGAGCGCGAATTTGCTGTTTTAGCCTATGAAGCCTGCAGCAAATTGCTGTACAATGTATACCCTCCGACTTTGGTGCACCCACGGACTCCGACTAACATGTGTTAGGTTGAAGGGAATGAGACGGGCTTTGCGCAAACACCAGACATCGGAATCATACAGGCTTTGCTTCTGTGCGCGCAGTTTGGCGGCTACAGTGACAATGCAGCCTATTTTCGCCGTGCGGAGAAACACATCACGTCCGCAAACTCGGTATCTCAGCCCATCATTCCGCTTAATCTTCTCCGGCACCACTATTTTGCGCTAACGTTATGGTTAGATTTTGCGAGAATATATCGATACATTCAGTCCTCAGCAACGCCGATCGACCGCAGACTGGTCCTCTTGGATTACGTCAGAAACTTGTAGTCGGTTGGTCTAGCACCCAATTTCCTGTCTTAAGTAATGGGACGACATCTAACTTTGTTCTGTTCATGTGTCTTCAGGCTTGCTGGTTGGATACACGTCCTCAGCGGAGTCCTTCTTTCTTTTCAGCCCACTGCCTCTATCGGCGCCTATCCCTCCGAGTGTGAAGTGCCTATCCCTTCCGACGAAGGGCTGTGGAGAGCAAAATCAAGCGTTGAATGGGGCGCTTTGGCAGCTGTAAATCTGGAACATCAGCAGGTAGGGATACATTCGATCATCAGATCCGTATCTGCCTGCGAAGTTTTCCCAACAAGAATCAGTGCGTTTGGCTTACTTGTCATCGTTGGGTCGATTTTGGGTGACATCTGCAACCATGAGCGCCTCTCGCTCGGTCTCCATAAGGAGCTGGACGCAAGTTTCATGGCCCAAATGGAAAAATGCCTCGAATCCTGGGAGCTGTCCTGGCGACGCCACCCACAAGCTGCAAGGGTGCCAACCAAACATGGTGATCCTCTTCTTGTTGATTGCCTTGCTTTACTAGGATCGTCTTACTACCATTTATATCTGAGCCCTGAGCTACGTGCCTTGAAAGCCTTCGCCCGGAGTAATGGTCGGAATTCATTGCTGCCTCGGCCGCGATCACGAGAGTTGACACTAAAGGCAGTACAGTATGCTGCTCATTCGTGGTTTGTGCGAGCCAAACTTGGCATTGCGCATCTCCAGAAAACGGCAGCCTTGGAATTCGGTGCTCAAACGCTTGTTACTGCATATGAAGGAGGTAAGATGGACCTACCCCCCGAAGAATCCCACGTTCTCCAACTGTCCGTGTTAACTTGATGCTGACTTTCCTGGTGTGCTTTCCAGCACTGATACTTGCCTGGTGGATACGGACATGGGACGATGAGGCTAGGACTGGCATAGGCGGAGCGGCTGCTGGTATGGACGATGAAAAGAAACTGCACGACATGATCCACGACATCGCGGATGAACTCCGTGATCAGAATATCGGGCGCGATGCGGGAGCGGATACTTGCCTGATTGCGCTTACATGTTATCGACTTCTCATTCTTCCTTGGGTGTGGAGTTGTAAGTCTTTTCTAGGCTCTCTCTTCCGTCCTCAAGCACGTAAACATCGGATGCTGATTCGACCTTTCCAGTTGCCTCAATCATGAGGGGCCACCTTGATAATATGTATCGTCAACTCAGTCGATCGCAATGAAGGCAAATTGCCATAGGATCAACTTAGCTTGTCATCGTGGCATAGATCGAAACCACGTCATGACTATGCAGTCGCTCTTATCGAGAATGGGAGCGACCATTCAGGCACACAGCCAAGTCAAAGCTCAGAACGAGTGTGCAGCCTGCTCATCTTCCAGCCGACAAGTCTGGTCAAGGACTCAAGTTCTCTATGGTGAAGCAAGGCTGCCTACAATGTCTTACAACCGATCGCACATGAGCAGCCGCAAAGATAGGGTTAGGAAAGTATATCCGATAAGATCCACTCAACTGTGGTAAGCTCGGGAAAGAGGTCTGATCTGTCCTGGATTTATGGGAAGGTGAGGATCGCACCTAATTGGGAAGTCGCTACTGGCGTTTGGGGAACGGGAAGGAATGGGCGTCTACCGAATGCGTGCCCCCTCGGCTGCCACAAGACAAGGCACAAACATCTCCAGCTTCGGAGGACTGCCGGTAGAAGACAGAGGAGCTTGATGACTATTGAAATCTGGCAACGCACAAACCTTCAGTGCCTATCCTTATTGTCAGGTTTGGCGCACGGCCAAATAAATAGCAAGGCCAGGTTCCCTGGCAAGGGCGGACGACAGGTACAAATTCTAGCCTCGTCTCGCCATATTCAATAAGTGGAGATTGAAAATAACCTCGTTTCACACAATGGCTTCCCTATTTTCTGGCAGGCATATTCCACTAGACTCTTCGGCGACCGGATCCCGAGAACAATCACCTTCACAGTTTGACCTTCATCTTTTCTACAGTTTGACCGCGACTTTTGGGTCCTTATCTTTACCATATCCAAGTACTCTCAAGTGCTCTGGCCAAATACCATTCTTTCCTGGTGAAAGAATGCCATTCGTGTCGAGTTGGTCCTATCAAAAACAATTTAAGCAAAGCGCCTTCCAGCGAGGGCGTGTACCCCGAGCTCGATGATCTTACCTTCAGATTTTCAACGAACCTCCGATAGGCATAGTTGTTAAAGTCGTACATGTCTTGAACGCGGTCTGTTCAATGGTGAGTATCTCTGGCTTGGTCCCCTGGCGACTTACAGCAGGGGATTACGTACCCATATGATTCAGGTGTGATCGATATTTGCTTAGGCCTCTTCTCTTGGCCTCCTGGAACAATTTTTCCATCACCCGGTCAAGCCTGTCGCGATGACTGGGGTCCGTCTTGTCGTACAGAAACATGTGGATCATAACGAATGTCCGCTCGTATAAAGCGCCACCGACATACGCGTCGAACCCTTCCGCGGTCGTGATAGCCTTGGCAGCTAGGTACCAATCAACCACTTCACGACCATTCGCTGGCAGAGTGGGCGAAAAGTCACAGTGTCCTCCAATGCCGGACGGATTATCAGCGGCCCTGTAGTTCCAGACTCCCAGAGTCCACAGGTCAGGCACGCCTGCCATGCCGCCACCGCCCTGGGCCGCGGGAAGGGCAGCAGCATCAACGCCCTCGCCGTTCTTTCCAACGTGGAGGTCGCCATTGAGTCTCGCCGTCGGGGCGCGCTGTTCAACCACTGATTGCGTAGCCTTGAATCGCTCCTCCACGAGGTTCTTGGGGCCGTAGAAGGCAAACTTGCACATCCAGTAACCCGTCCTTAACGTCTTCTGTACCTGCTTAAGGACGTCTGGTGGCATCGCTCCGGCTCCCTTGTAATAGCTCTTTCGCGGACCTGCCGAGCTTGACCATGCTACAATGTTGCGTACGATGGGCGAGTTCTGAATCACGTCTTGCCTTTTTAACTCGCTCAATGCGTCAACCATGGTGGCAATGTCCTTGTCCTCGTCTACTTCCAACGAGCAAGACATAAATGCCTGCGGCTGTGGTGTCATCCACAGGCCTATCTTGGTGACCACTCCCAGGTTGCTTTGCAAGAAGAGTCCGTCGATTGACGGCCCGAAGTTGGATTTGGACAGATGCGCTGCTGCAGCATTTGAAATGGCGAATTGACCGGTCCGGATCAGCTCCCCATTAGGCAAGACAACTTCCATGCCGCAGATCTGGTTGTGGTGGTCGCCGTGTCTAGTGTACCCAAATCCACGATCCAATGCCTGTTAACCCGACGTCAGTCATAAACGTCATGAAAGGGAATGCACTGAGTCCTTACATTGCCAGTGACACTCCCCCAGCCTAATGATGGAGCGCTAGGCCACACTTTCAATTTATGTCTCCGACAATGGTGGTACAAGTCGAAGAAAGTAACACCGGGCTCAACAACACAGTACGCCAGTTGGTCATTGACTTCGATGATCTTCTGCATGTTGTGGAGGTCCAGTACCACGGAGCCTGAAAGGCGTGGGGATGGCCCGCCGTAACTGACATTGTTGTCAGCAAGCCGGACGTTTGATTGAGGGCCGGAGGGGAAAATATTCATGGTCTTACCCAAGGTTCTTCCCACGCGAAATGGTCCATAGCGGTATCTTATATTGATTGGCGATCTTGAGAATCCCCTGGATGTCCTTGACTGAACGAGGACTTGAATTGGGAAGTCAGTGTCGCTTCCTTCTCAGCCGGATACCGTAATTCTTTCCTCACCAGATCGCCGCACTCGGCACATGGCGCTGATCTGAATCCTCCCACAGCTCGAATGGATCGATGTAGTCAATCAAGGCAGCACCAGTGTGCACCGCATCATGCCCGAGAATGTCTCGGAATGCAGACAAGGCTCGACCAAAGTCCTGCTTGTTCACTTTCGGAGGCAAAACCTCCAGCAGTTCCAGTCTTGTTGATTTGCGAAACAAGTCGGAGTGCTTCAACTGGATTTCCGGGTCAGAGTAGAATATTTGTTCTTTTGGCGTATCCATGATGGTGGTCCCTTACGCCGTCTTCAACTACTGCACACTGTCCAAGGCCAAGTCAAAAGTTGGAATGGAAGCAGGGGAGCACTTCGGGCTGCCTGGCTAGTTTTCTAGTCTTTCACATCCATTCTCACTGGGGTGGAACCAGAGTAGTTAATTACCCCACCCTTGCTCAGAAATAGACCACCTCGTTCTTCATGAGCCTAACCCTGGTACAATATGTGGGGTCACTAGTGGGGGGGTCCTTCCCCAAAATTGCCAGATATCCCCCACACCCCCGCTGGATCCCAACTCTAAGAGCTGATCACACCGACAGCAGGGCTCAAGCTCTAGCCACACCGCCTCCTCACTCTCCATGCATGTTGAACATTCGGAAGAGATTGTGACGAGACCACCAAGAACGCAACCTCTTACCAAAGGCGTAGAAGACAATAGCCAAGAGACAGAAGAAGACACCGACGCCACCAAACACGTTCATGACCTGCGAAATACCTTTCTCTACTACCCAATTATTGACAAAGTAGCTATATCCGTAGAAAAGAAAGTTCTAACTCAAGTTCAGCCTTGTGGTACTGGATATCCATGGATCAGGGTAGACATACCTTGAACAGCATCGCAAGAATGAATATCTCATTAGAGTCTTCACGGAAGGCATCCAGAGCATACGAAGTCGTTGAACAGAGGCCAAAGACTATACCGCACTGCATGACGCCCCAAAAGAAGGAGCAGAGAGGGCCTGCAGCCCCGATATTCATAAAATGGCCGTAGAGGAAGGTTCCGACTGCGTAAATGATCATGGTTGGCAGCATGAATACAAGTCTGAATTCGGGTTCGCTTTGCGATGGTCAGCAGAACCTCTTAAGGGGAGAGGGCCATCGGAAACCGAACATACTAGACGCCATTGTTGAGCCTTGCCATCCACGTTGACGCCCGGTCAAACACAAGTGTCATGATGATGGAGCCAATCATGCCTCCCACAAATGGGCCAGTTCCGATATACGCAACCTGAGAGACGTTGTACAACCAGGGCGGACCGGAAAAGACCAACGCAGCAAATATTGAGGCGCCAACATAGAATGAGCTTAGAATACCAGCACAGACAATGCTGTAGCAAGCTCCTGGGTTTAGCAATGCCAACCATGGCCCAAAGATGAGCTTGAGCAAGTTGTCCCTCGAATATACTCTGGTGTAGATCGCCAGCTCCTGAACAAAGGTTTTCTTCCGAGGAATACTCGGCGTTTGACTTTCCCTTGAGATCGTTCGTTGCACAGTCTTGTCGTCTACCCGGGTAATCTCTTCCAAATGCAAGAGCTCATCCAATTTCTCCTCTTGTTGATTGTCGATATCGTAGAGATGATCCCTAATGTACGAAGTTTCGGGACAGAAAAAGAACATCAAGACGAACTGGATGATGACGAAGATCTGGAAAAGATGAAACAGCCATAGCCAGCCTAGCCTGTCAAAGACTTGACCGCAGATGATTGAAGCAAGGCCTGAGGCAGCGTACAGATTGAAGGTCAAAATAGAAACACGCAGGCCTCGTTGATGGACAAAATACATATCGCCGATGGCGGAGACGGTCAACGATTCAAAGGCGCTGGTCGAAAACCCTTGAATGACCCGTGCGGCGCGCAGGTAGTTGAAGCTGATTTTGGATTCGCCAATCGCCGTTCCGATGATGCAGAAGAGAGTCGACGCGAGGAAACACGGCCTTTTACCGTACCTTCGGCTGAGCGCGCAGTACAAAGGTCCGGTTGCACCAGCAGCCAGTAGATTGTATCCTGACAAGACAACCACGCTCGTAAGAGGAGTCTGAAGTCTTTCAGCAATGGCCACATAGGACGCATTGAGGAATGGGCCCTGCAAGAGTTACTAGTCTGAGGCACGTAACGTGTGAGGGATATCATACATTGGTGGCACAGTTCAGAATGGCTCCAAAGCATAAGATCCAGGTAATCATCTCCTTTTTCCACAAGGGCCAATTCAAAGGATCATTCGGGTCTTCACTCGGTTGTGGAACTAGGACGACGTGTTGCCCTTTCCCTTTGGCATGTTTGAGACCTGAGAGGCCTTCTACGTGGGCTACCTCATCGTCGAGCACCACCGTCCCTGGCACGTTGGGCAATTTGTGGTCTGCAAGTCAAGGTTAGACCAGGGTGAGCAGAAAGGTATATCGTTGCACACCTTCTAGTATGCCGAAACCCATGGCGGCCGATTTTACTGAAGGCTGGCTCTCAAAGACTGAGAACAAATCCGGCAAAGAGTGGCAAAACGTGGTAAACCGGGATCAACGACATTAGATGGCAGACTTGCATCTTATATACCATGCAAGGGTGTTTTCCCGTCAGCGAAGCTGCTCAATAAAGTCTGAAATTGCTAGTCTGGGAGTTGCCGTTGGTGAAGGTGTCCAGAGTGGAGGAATACGAAGCTGGGTCAGCGCCCCAGACTGGGTTGCGCACTGAAACCCCACATCGCTTCACACGTGTGGGGAGAGGCTCGATGCTTGGAAGCTCTGTTCGGGAAATCCCCCATGGAGCCTTACCAACATAGATGGAAAATATTCCAGGACGCAGAGTCTGACTCCGGGGATTGGACACTATTTACAGTCAATCGCAGCTAAAACCACCAAGTACCGCCACAGCCCCGGCAAAACAACTTTGGAGGCAGAAGTCTAGCACTCCTACTTGATTTTGGTCTAGTATTGCTCAGTCCAATGTTGACTAGCGACTCGCTCATCGGAACAATGTAGAATGCTACAGCACAGAACGGCGATTCCACGCCGCTCAAAGTCACAATCGTGGGGGGCGGCTTTGGGGGCTTGTCCTGCGCGATTGCCTGCAAAGTTCAGGGTTTCCAAGTTGATGTGTACGACCAAGCGGTAGAATTTCTGCGAATTGGCGACTCGATTGGCTTTGGTTCTAATTCTGCCCGCTTGTTCCACCGATGGGATGTAGGCAATGAGCTCGAAAAGATCTCGACCAATATGCCAGGGATTGAAATCTACAACTTTGATTCATCGGAAAAGATGCTGGGATTCGACAGCCAAAACGGAGATGCAAAGGAAAAATATGGCTATCCCGCCCTTATCGCGCATCGTGGAGACTTTCACCAAATCCTATCCCGCTATGCTGTCGACATTGGAGTCAAGCTCCACATGGCCACGACCGTTTCGAGGTACGACAACACGAAACCCAGTATCATCCTCGAGAGCGGAGAAGAGATTGAATCAGATGTTGTCATTTGCGGAGATGGTTTTAAGAGCAAGGGCCGAGAGGCTGTCTTGGGCTACGAGGACCGACCCATCCATAGTGGCTACGCAGTGTATCGTGCGTACATGGACGGGGAGCTGCTGAAGAGTGACGCCCTAGCTGAGAAGTTTTTAGACAATGACGCGATCCGCTTATTTATTGCGCCGGACATGCATGGTTTCGTCACGACCCTGCGTAATGGCAAAGAGGTCAATGCTGTCTTAACACACAAGGACGAGGCGGACATTGAAGAGGGCTGGAACAAGCGGGGCGATATTAAAGATGTTTTGAAACTTACGCATGATTGGGATCCAGCATTCCGCAGAGTATGGGAACTCATGCCTCTCGAGAACGTGATTGACTGGAAACTGATCTATCGCCCATGCTTGCCACAGTGGGTGTCAAAGACGGGGCTGGTCAGTCTAATGGGCGACGCAGCCCATCCATTTCTGTCAACTTCAGTGCAAGGAGCTAGCCAGGCCGTTGAAGACGGCGCAACCATTGCCAAGTGTCTGGCAAAGGCTGGCAAGGGCAACGTCCCTCTGGCACTGAATGTCTTCTTTGAGATTCGGCACAATTACGTGGCCGATGCGCAATCCACAGGCATCAAGCAACGCGAGCGATGGCACAGCCTACACGACAGAGATACCAAATCGTTTAAGGACGAGTTCGACCTGAACGCGGTGTCATTAACCAACTTTTATTTATGGGGGAATGATGCCGAAAAGGTGGTTGACGAACGATGGGATGAATTGTCTGCAATAGTGAAGTTACGAGCCACCAAATTGACCCAAGAAAATGGCAAAGCCAGCTAAGAACATGCTTCAGAATAAGCCAGCAGTTACCTGCCCGGTTTTACGAGGTGTTTCTTCAGGTCTGTCAGGCGAGCAGATGTGATTTATGTATGAGCAAATATAAACCCCCAACATTATTTTCCGTTGTTGTCCATGAGATCTAAGAACCTGGCAGAAGACTTCGGGGGCCAGAGTCAACGAGAGACAAAGCCAAGTAATGTCCGCTATGATCGCACACAGCAGTGAACTTTCTGCCATCCTTACAATTACACAACTGATATGTGGGGTTCACTAGTCTCTGGCAGGGCGGTAACAGGAGTCATTTCGCTGGTGGAGCTTGCCCTGAGATCCCTGTAGAGGGTGAAACCCAAGCTATATATACCGTGCATGCAGTACTCAAAGTACTCCACAGAAAGCTATCTGGTTGTGGGGTCTCCAAACTCGTTCTCCAGTTGGATCCACCATTAACTCCCCGACACACATGGTTATCACAGTCCAAGCTGAGCCAGTTCGAACCAGCGCAGAACAGAGTCTCTCCCTCTTCATGGCGTCGACGGCGATCGTGAATCGCTGGGTGCATGCTTCAGTTACAAGCCTGCATGCTTCCCTAGCACTCCTTCTAGTGGTTGGCGCAATCCTCTACAAGATTGCTACCTATGACAAGCGGCGTCGGCACTTGCCGCCAAATGTTCCTGCGTGGCCAATTATCAACCACACCTTCATACAACAGAAGGACAATACACCACCGATATTGAGATCCTGGGGCGAAACATATGGCGAGGTCTTTCGAACTAAAGCAGGGACAACTGATTTCATTTGGCTAAACTCGAAAGAAGCCGTGAAGGAGGTTTTTGACCGCCGATCTGCCATCTATTCTAGCCGGCAGCCGATGCCGATGGCCTTTCAATGCGCTACGTGGGCATTGTGCTCCCCGCGTGCTTGGGTCTTCTTATACTGACCGTCCAAAAGTGGTGGCAAACGCATCACGTTCGCTCCCTACGGCAAGATGTGGCGAAGCTCACGGAGTATCTTTCACAGGGTGGGGACTCTCCGCAAGCAAATCAAACACTTTTTAATTGGCGATTCAGGTTTTGACGCAGAAAATGGCAGAAGACTACTCCGTGATCCAGCTCTACGAAGCAAAACAACTGAGCGTTGATCTGCTCGACAATCCTCAAGATTTTTACATGCACAACAGGCGATATTCGGCAAGTGTCATTATGCAAGTCACCTATGGGTGGCGTATCCCACAATGTAAGCACCCACACACAGGTTTCCCATGGCTCTTCATTTGATTTTGGCAATCATATCATGATGTTCGAGTTTGCGCATGACATTTGAAAACTTCGTCTGTGTAGGAGACTGTCCGGAGATCCGACGCATCTTCGAGGTGCTGGGCCGTTTCGTGCAATGCCGCAGACCAGGGCAGTGGCTGGTTGATGTATACCCATCCTTGGCAGCTAATCCAATCTTCAACTATTTCTCTAGCTGGAAGCAGATTGGCACCCGGTTTCATGACTTGGATGAAGCCATTTGGATGGACTTTTGGCAGGCATGCAAAGAGAAGGTCGATGCAGGGATAGCGCCTCATTGTTTTGGCAAGATTTTGCAGGCAAGTTATGAAAAGCTCGGTCTGACTGAGGGCCAGGCTGCTTGGATATGGTGAGTTAATCCAACCCCCAGCGCTTCTCTGAAGGCTTTTGTAATCATTTTGAGCCCCTTTCGTGCGGACAGCACAGTCTTTCGCACCTAGGTGCTGATTTTGGCTGTTGTTGTAGCGGGGGTCTTATCGAAGCAGGCAGCGAGACTACTTCAGCTACCCTCAACAACTGCATATGTCTCATGCTGTCGAACCCGTCAGCTGTCGAAAAGGCACAAGAAGAGGTCGACCGTGTAGTTGGACCAGACCGCACGCCGACCTTCAAAGATGAAGCTGACCTTCCTTACATCCGTGGCATGATCAAAGAGACTCTTCGCCTCAGACCTATCAACAAATTTGGCAACAACCATTACAATGTCGAGGATGACTGGTATAATGGCTTCTTCATACCCAAGAACAGTATCATCGTAGCAAATTGGTGGTACATTCACTTTGATCAGCAGCATTACCCAGAGCCCGATTCGTTTCTGCCAGAGAGGTGGCTGGATTACCCGTACGGTGCAGCAGAAGCTGCAGCATTGGCGGACGGCACCAAGAGAGACCATCTTTCGTATGGTGGAGGACGAAGAATCTGTGCCGGTCTACATGTCGCGGAAAGAAGCCTGTTCATCAACGTCGCAAGACTTCTTTGGGGCTTCAATGTGTCGCACGCACTTGATGAAAGAGGCAAAGTCATCCCGGTAGACTTTGGGACCACTGGTCTTCGACCTGGGAGTTCGAGCGTGGCCAAGCCATTCCAATGCCAGATAAAGCCCAAGTCCGAGGATCACGCACAACTACTCAGGAAAGCATGGGAGATGGCACAAGAGGATGGTATCGATTTTTCACACATCAAATGGGCTATCTAGACTGGACTCCACTTATCGTTATGAAGTAGTTTTCAACTGTCATCAGAAACAACCGAGTCAGGTAGTCGCAGATGGTAATATCAGAACTAGCTGGCCGCAGCTGAGGCCAGCAGGAACGTGCCTGTCGCCTTCTCTTTTTAGCGGCGTACACTACTCTCTTCTTCTTTGTGCTGTCGGGAAGCCAGAAAGAGAACACATCATTGACGACTGACATCTTCCCGACATCATCGCTGATGCCGGCTTCCACAATCTCTGCTAGGACGCATGCTTGGTAGGCATGCTTGGTATGATGTTGCTCTTGCAGACTGGTCAATCCAGAGCCCCGTTTCACGACAACCACTTCGACGCTAAGTCTAGCAAGGTTGGCGGCCGTAGTTAGACCAACAAGACCGGCACCGGCACCGACAATGAGAACGTGATCATGGTTAAGGGGCATAGAGGCCCCTTTGGCCGTTTGTACGTGATTGTTTGGCTGACGAAACCGGGCGATCTCAGTCAACAAGGGGGCCAACTCATGAATCCGGCTTACAACACGCAAGGAAGGCGGGCAACTGGGACTGTCTGCAGGTGAAAGCACCCAAGACACAGGGTCATTCTAACCAAGTGGCAAATTCCACTAACATAACTTGTTCACTTACCCCGTCTACCGGGGCGAAAACGCTCCCCACGACTCCCTGGGGCTGCACTCTATAAAATGAAATGGCGGGCACGAATCAGCCCCTAGTTGCTTCTACCTCAATATGATTGTTACATTGGTTGCGATCTAGAACGGCATATCATGGCCGCTCTCGCCTGCAAGTTCGTCTTCAGCGACAGCGGACTGGCACTTCTCCCCACATCTCTACCTGCAGCAGAGGGCTAACCTCTAACTGCGGGGGAACCGGTGTCTCTCTGAAGCCCGTGGACGGCGTCAGATGACTGGCAAGCGGAATTCTGGTTTGACAAGACAGAAGTGCTGAAACTTTGCAGGGTAGGAGAAGGGTTGCTAGAAGGAATGAAGCTTGACCTATCGCAACTTTATTGCAATAAGCCCGATTTTGTTCAAAGGCCATCAGCCGCACCAAAAAAAATGAAAAAAAGCCAAAAAAGCCCCCCTTAGCAGCAGATTTCTTCTAGGTGGCTGCTAATTGCTTTACTCCTGATCCTTGAGAGCTACATTTCGGAAAGACGTACTGAACTTCACGGAAGACGTATGCAGTTATAATGATCTGGTCAAAGATTTTCAAGATGTGATAATTGTGTATAGCGCACTGAAGGACTTGATCCGTACCTCAAAAATCAAGCACCGGGATCAACCTCCCTTCGCCAACATTCAGGCGCACTCTGTACAGGTCGTTCTGTACTATAGAGTCATGTTTCTCCTCATATTCTTCCACCTTAATAGAGCAATCCACGTACCGTCCTGACATAAAGTCGAGCTTACCACTTGCCAGCGCGGTGACCATCCCCGCCGCCATGTAAGGGGTGTCAAAGGTGCCCCTTTCGAGAAAGTTAACAGCTGTCTGCGCCGACTTGTCTTCTCCCTCAGCGCCCTCAACGATGTACGATCTCTCCTTCGGCCGACCCTCAGCCTTGTCCTTGAAGTCATAGTAGAACCTCGTGGGGATGCTTCCGGGGTGGATCGCGAAAGCTCTGATGTTGTATTCATGGAAGTTCTCCACGTGGATGATTTCTGCAAGCCGCACCATGCCAAGTTTCGCCACGATGTAGCTGCTCATACCTCTGTTGGAGTGAGCGCCAGCGCTGGCGGTGAAGATGATCCTACCTCCACCCTTCTTCTGCATCACGGGAAGTGCAAGCCTGCTAAAGTTGTACGCCCCGCGTAGCGACACGCCAACGGTATCCCACCAAATGTCCAGGTCTCCCTCGGACGTCGGGAGCCACTGAGGTGGTCTGCCAGCGTTCATGAGAACAACGTCAATGCTCCCAAATTCTTCGACCACTTCCGCCAGAAATTTCCGCACGGCATGGTGGTCTTGTACGTCGAACGCCTCCGTCTTGGTCCGCAGCGACTTATCCGCTTCCCTACAAAGCTTGGCCGTTTCGTCCACTTCATCTTGCTCAAGGGCGACTAAGCTCAGCGAATTGAGCCCACCGAAGCTGAGGAACTCTGCACAGGCTCGCCCAATACCGCGACCAGCTCCTGCGACGATCACGTTCTTCCCGTTCAACTGTTTGGCTAGATCTTGGTTGACTCGAGGATCTGTGCCAAAATAACAGTCATGCAGCTTTCCCAGAAAGCGATCTGCCTGTTTGTTTGTCATGGTGGGAATGCTAAATCTTCACGGATTCGAACCAGTCTTGGAGACTTACAACGGCCAATGTGCAAATGAAGGATTTAGAGATAGATCTGACGCGTTGATCCCTTTTGTGCAGAGGGGCGGGAACCCCACAAAACCAGCACTGCCAACCTCATTTCTTTCGCCCTTATTCCTTCATGAGCTATACACAGCCGTATAGTGGGGTTTCCTCTCCCCACTGAGAGTATTCGGAATGGGTGTTGCAGTTGTCGCTGTCAAGTGCATGCTTACACATGCGTTTCTCCGACGAGATGGTCAAGGTTTAGAAGGGAACAACGAAGAATACCACAGGTGTTGTCAGAACCTTGGATCTGGTAGTGGATGCCTTGTAGCACGCACGACATGTCGTGTTATTGCCTGCACTACCTCGCCACAGCAGGGTACAAGACATGTGGTACTTTCCATTGGGAAAAAGCTATGCCACCTCTTGATTCCCAGGCAAGAGCGAGACCTGATTTCCCTGCACCAGCATTTGGTCTCAGAAGACCCCGATCTCGCAACTCCCCCACTTTGGTGCCCTGTCGCCATTATCTTTGCAGTTCCAGATCGAGTCCCTAGGGAGATGCTTTCCCAGTCTGCAAGACGTGATTGACTGCTCGCCGGTTCAATTCAGAATCCGTTCCGAGCTGCTTTCCCCGAACGAGAACTGGTTCGCTTTGACCGGTGCTCGGACACAAGTACATGGATGAAGGAAAAGGTCATCCATAGGTAGATCCAAGCAGGTGAACGCTTCGTCAAGACATAAGATCCCGGTTCCCAGAGGGGGTAACCTTAAGCATACTCAGCATTTCATTACATTCCAGCGACATTGCGCAGGCCAGCTCTATCACACATTATTGTGGAGAAAGTCGGTTTCCAAAGCCCCTTTGTTCGCGCAATGTCTGCACCCGGAGAGATGAACGGTGGAACAGCCAATGGATATCACGCAAGTCGTTTGGAGAGGCTTGTCCACTGGGCGCATTCTTTAACTTATGAACGCTTGCCCGCCGACGTGGTTGATCGCACCAAGGCGTTTTTCATTGACTGGCTTGCCTGCGCAGTAGCTGGAAGAGGTCATGTCTCGGTCACGTCGATGGTGGAATATGCCAAAACCATGGGCCCATCAACGGGCAAGTGTGAAGTGATTGGATTCCCAGATCTCACCACCAGTGCAGCCTTCGCATCACTCATCAATGGTGCTTCCTCGCACGTGGTGGAGCAGGACGATCTTCACAACAGTAGCATGATGCACCCGGTTGGCTGCTCTCTCTTGTCTCCAAGGGGAGTGACGTGCTAACCCAGAGGCACAGGCTACCGTGATATATCCCACAGCACTCGCTGTAGCGCAGGATGTCGGTGCTAGCGGGAAAGAGTTCATCACCGCATGCGTGGTGGGATACGAATTTGCCTGTAGAGCGGGCGAGTTTCTAGGCAAGGCTCATTATGAAGTAAGCCTCACTAAGCCCTACGACTTCGGTGGCTGCTGACTGAGATTGGCACTTAGAATTTCCACACCACAGCAACGACTGGCATCCTCGGAGCCGCAGCCACGTCTGCCTATCTGCTTCGCTTGACCGAGGATCAATTCCTGTCCTCCATTGGCAACGCAGGTACCCAAGCCGCGGGACTTTGGCAATTCCTTCTAGATGCAACGCATTCCAAGCAAGTGCATACAGCGCAAGCCTGTGCCGGAGGTGTGTTCTCCGCTTATGTGTCGCGTTCAGGTCTCCTTGGGCCTCACGACATCCTTGAAGGTCGGCGAGGCATGGCAGCGACTCTGGCATCTGTAGATCCGGAACCGTCTTTCATTGATGCTCAGCTTGGGGCAAAATGGTCCGTGCTCGAGTCGAGTTTTAAATGGCACGCATCATGTCGCCATACCCATCCGTCCGTGGATGCATTAATTGCACTGATGGAAGAAGAGAAGATCAAATTCAACGATATCGCGTCAATCACAGCGCACACCTATAAGGCGGCAATTAGCGTCTTGAGCCTGAGCGCCGCGGCGGAGACCGTTCATCAAAGCAAGTTCTCCATGGGGTTTGTTCTGGCTGTCGCCGCGAAGAACGGCTCAGCTAACATAACAAATTTCACTGAGGATGCACTCTCAGACCCCGAGCTACGGACCATGCAGAAGAGAGTAACCATGGTCCTCGACCCGAAAATTGACGCAGTGTTCCCTGCCAAATGGCTTGGGAGGGTGACTGTCACCACAAAAGAAGGGCGCAGAGTGACCAAGAATGTGGATGTGGTCAAAGGAGATCCGGGCTGGACCTTGACAAAGTGAGTCTTTAGTCTTGTCCGCACTCTTTGCCGTGATGCTAAGAGCCTTTTCTAGGAGTGAGATCGAAGGCAAGGTAATTTCACTTGCCCGGTATGGCCATGTTCAGGACTTAAGTCTCTTTGAGGCCACCATACAGAGAATCTGGAACTTAGAAGTAGATAAAGAGATCAGAGGGTTTGTATTCTCATGACGGATGATTGGTATTATAGCACGATAGGAGACTGCAGGCTCAGTAGTGTCACTGCAAAAGCAATATTTTAAGGACCTGCTCAGACTGATAATGCTTCCAGCATTTCGTGGTGTTCCCCCCTTCTTTTTTTTTAGATTTTATTTTCCATTTTGAACAGGATCACCGTGATAAGTAGGGACAGGTTACTCCCATTGATGTGGAAGAATCGTTGAAAATCAAGGCAGACGCGCCCTGTTTTCTGTCACGCCAAACGGAATTGTGGGCGACTTATATCAGAAACTTTGGCAATGTCCTGAAGTTGGAAATGCATTTCAGATTTTTACTCCGGTTAAGATCAAAGAAATAACTAAAGTTTTGCACGTTGTCCATCAGCGGGAATCTCTACATCCAGCATCGGAGCGTGCAACTGGGCCCCGAACGTGTCCCGCTCTCCAATACTACCCTGTGGCCATGGCCTTTTGAATGTACACTTCCAGGCTAATGCTGGCTCAAAGAACATGCAGACAATGATTTCTTCTGCGGATTTCAGATGGTAAATATTCTGGATGAGCTCTGGGGTAAGAACCTCGGACTCCCTGGCACGATCGAAGTCGGCACGGCTTAAGAACAAGATGTCCAGTGTTACCTCGAACGGTCCAGAATTCTTGGAGCGGACCACGTAGGCCATGTTCCGGATCATAGTCTTCCCTCGGTCAGCAGTTCTTCTCCGCAGCCCTAGGACCGTGATCTTTGTAGAGCTCTGGCTCTTTTGCTGAACAATTTTAGGAAGCTGAGGCAACTTCCGTTGCGTGACGTTACGCTCTGTCTCCTTCGTCTTGTTGCCGACTGTGGTCGTGGATCTGGGAAACAGATCAGTAGGATCGTCGACCTGCATGAGGTGGTAGATGCTGAACTTGAAGACGGGTCCTAAGGGCGACTCTAGGGGGGTCAAAGGCGAGGCTATGTTGCCTGCGGTTGCCATCTGGCCGTCATAGGCCCCGTGTAAAAGGGCGGTTCTTGAGAAGCCTGCAATGGCATCTGCCACCTCTTGAGATTGGCCTACTGCCTCCCCCATGATTCCAATCTCGTGGGGAGTGCTCGTATTAGGTTCCAATCCACCCATGACAGCATTCTTGCCGTAGAGGTGAAAAATCAGCTGTGGGCCTCTCTCGGTGCCAAGCTCTGGGAATTGCTCGCTCGTGGACCTTCTGACTGTCTCGAGAAATTTCTCGATACCGGCGATGAGGATAGGGTCTCTGATCCCGGCAATGAAGGATGTCCGGTAACCAAGATGCTCAACTCCTTCAAGTTTAATTTCATATTCAGGTGTAGGAACAAACCGAGAGCCTTTGACCAGGATGCTTCGGCCGTCCCCTTGCGGAGTGTAGGTGCACTTGTCGAGATGGAGGACTCCCCCGGGTCCAGGTAGCTGATCCGGTCGCGTCTTCTCGTACATAGTATGGGCAGAGATAGAGACGGAAGTGCAGCGGCCGATTGGATCTGTAGGAGTAAGGATGAAAGAGTCTTTGAGCATTGTCGCCACGATCGAGCGTCCTTTTGGCGTCGAGCATTGCCCTCCGCACTCGATAATCTTGCCAACATGCCAAGCAGGGCTCACATCTACTCCCTTGTACAGACAGTATGCCGCGAACGGGGCAGGATCGTAGGATCTTCCCGCTATAATGATATCAACGTCATCGTTCTTCAGGACTTCCAAGAATGGCTCGGCGCCCATTTGGGCGACTATCTTCGTTGCGTTAACGATATCTTGCTCCTTTATCGTAGGACTGGAGGAACATGACTTTATCTTCCCTGTTCGGAACTTTTGCAAGAAAGTCGTGCGATCGTCTTTGAATTTGATCTCGGCTACCCGGAAAAGCCATGAGTTGAGCTCAGCGATGCCCGCAATGATGTCGACCAGTTGATCCACTTGTTCGTTGCTGCCAGCACCCCCTGCAGAGGAGATTAGCACCTTTGTTTTATAATTTGCGCATGCTTCCAGAAATGGCGTGATGTCCCTCGTGATCGATGCGTTTGTGCAGAGAGTCTTCCCAGTTCCAAGCATGTATGGCCCAGGATCGGTCGACCCGCCATCCGCGATGATTGCCTCGGGGGCGTCTTCAATTATCGTGTGCCAAAACTCGTCCACATTGTAACCGTACCCTAGGATCGGGGTGGGTGCAAAGATCTTGAAGGGACGAAATATGGACATTGGTCAACGTTCCACGCGCGGGCTGAACAAACGGGAGCAAAGGCAGCTGCAGTTGCGATACAATCTAGGACTGAAGCGTTGGTGAAAGAATTAAGTGCTTCATCTAAATACCAGGACGAGTGAATCACCCCCGAACGGGTTGGCTGTCCAGGAAGATCACCGCGACCGATACCGGAACACTCGGCGGCCTTTTAACGTGGGGAGCAAGACATCATTGAGTGCTAGGCCAGCGATGTATTCCGATAGGCTTGGCTTGCGTGTGGGGTAGATCAAGACGTCGAGATGGGCTTGGGAACGTTGTGGCCTTTTTCGCCTTCACGTTCGTCGGGGGGGGGGGGAGGATCAAGACTCTGTGAATGCTTGCTATTCCTATCTAGAGAGCAATGGCTCTCGACTATCCATGAGGTGCCAGAGTGCCAAGCCACTAGGGCTGGCCAGGTGTCGCCAGGAGGAAGGTGGTGACGCTACCTATCCTTGAGGTGGGTGCGCGCCACAACGTTCACGCCAATATGCCTTCAGAACTTCTTTTAGCTCTAGAACTCGTGGTCTTTGCATGCGGCTTACCTGTTTCATGCTACTAGATCTCGCTTTTAGGCCACCTCTCGCACTTTGATATACTCTTTGGGCGTTCACCTTGCTCCTGCCGTGGTCCACATCAATGAATACTGTCGACCCTCCACAACAACGAAGTCAGATTCTACCTCCAAGTCTTCCAGAAATGGCTCGATATAAAGACTCTGTTTAAAGCTTTTCGTAACAGTCAAGCGATTTATAGCTCATTCCTCACGCCCTTTGTTGCCGCTTGCAGATCGTGTGGAAAGTCATTTTCAGCGCTGTAAGGATCAATCTGCATTAATTGCTCCTCTGCCCAAAGAGAGAGAGAGAGAGAGAGAGAATGACTTGCTTTGGGAAGCAAAACCACGGCATCATCTTAGTTCCACCAGAAACCAAATGCTTTCTGGGCCAATGTAGTCTCTTGCACTACCCATGTCCTCGTGAACCAAGGCCGAAGGAAGAGAGAGACTCAAAAATTTCTCGCCTAGTGTTGGAATACCTAATATGCGTACTACAGTTTATATCGCTTAAACGCACTCAAGGTTGATTCGCTGAGGCGATCTCTGGCCGCGTCGTGATAAACGGTTCTGTTTGCTTTAACGCAACAATTACTATCCTGTAACTAGAGGGGACTTAGGACCACCGGAAATTATTTGAACAGTTAGAGATGATGAGCGAGAGGTGGGGACGTCTAGCTAGGAGTTTAAAATGTGTCATCACGGGTCCGTTATAGTGCCTGTGTTGTGATGCAATTATCTCAGCAAGGCTCTCTCCCCTGAACACGGTCCCGCTCCAGCGGTGTTGCCATTCTGGTTGGTCTGTTCGGCATCAACCATCTATCATGTACTCCGTACATTCACATGTATACTTTCATACCTCTGTAGGTACTTGGATCCCAGTTGCGCAAAAGGACGTGGAACATAGTCCTCTAGCGAGTGCACAAATACCTTGGGGCGGCACATATATTTAAAATCCAGGTCCGGCACACACACGTCGTTGAGATTTCTGATCTGCGGGCTGACTAGCGAGTGCGCGCGATGACGAGAGTGGACGCAGAATGATAAGGATGCAGAATTATCTCAGCTCTGTGTCGTGTCGTGGCGTGGGCGGCCAATAATACCAGCGCAGCAACGATGGGATGATCGCGCCCGCGGTACCAGAACTGGATATTAGCATTGCTGAACCCGAATACGGGGTTGTTGTTTCGATCATCATTTTTCATTTTCCCAAAAGTTTTTGGGTTTGGTGATGAGAAAAAAAGGTCGCGTCCCTTACCGGGGTAGACCAGGCATGCTTTTAAAAAAAACATGCTTTTGGTGGGCTTCTGGTGTGCTTTGTTTCCCTTATACCCGGAGCGTCCAAATGGGTTATTCTTTGCTTTGGGTGAGTATCCGGTTGATCATCGCTGCACCAACCAGGGTAGAAGGGCAGGGGAAAATAGTCTATTCCTTGTTTGTGAAGTTTCCACCGTAGAGGGCAAGGGTGATTGATTATCAACAAAGACCTCCTTGTCACTTGAAACCGAGATGCAAGAACGGAAACCTTGGGTCATGTTTAACTACGCCGGCCGGTGGCTAGGGCGCTGGCTACCTTACAGGTCCACATGGACAACAACTCGGTTGCTATCAATGCTTGACCACTCTTCTCACCGTGGTGCATGCGCTTTTGATACTTTGCGAGACGATGAGCGTGTTTGTCTGCTCCGCCTCGGAAGCGATTGCGGTGTCTTTTCCCGGTCTCGTGTAAGAGAGCAGCCGAGCGAGCATCATCAGAATTAGAGAGTGGCCTCTAATTCTGAATCTCGTCGTCCCGATTTCTCGACCCTATTGTCAAAGTTTCTATGTACTAGCAGGACTTCTCCTGTTGCCCTAGAGCCGAAGACTTCCAGTGCAGAACTTGTCAGCCTTCTTTGAGGTCAAGGCGAGCTTGTCCCTTGGTTCTTTCTATCAGTTAGTGAGGTATGCAAGGTTGCATACCTTATTGGTCGTCACAGTCGTTGGGGCATTTTGCACGAGTAGCCAGAGGAGACGCAAGTTCACTACGAATATCGAACTTTGCATGTAATGCGACAGGTTGCGGGCTTAACACGTCGTAATGGCCAGAGTAGCTCTTGACGACCGAGTGTTGCGCGAGGCCGATAGGTTCCGAGGCTGATCTTAGGGCCAGCATGGGAGGAGATACCATGTGCAAAGCAAAATGAAGGTATGACAATACGTATATTCTGATGTCTTTTGTAATGTTTTGATGGGTGTTAGAAGGTCGCAAGAGTGTTCACTCATATGTCCGATATTGTGCAGTTCTCTGTTCCAAGCAAGCCTCCCAGGATTCGATGTCCACCTGTAACTTTTCATTTCTGGGTCCAAATTCCGCAAAGCCAAGGTCAACATGATTGCTTAACTCAAACCTCAGGTGAAGCTTGGGAAGGTCAAGCCTTGTATTAGATAATTTGATTAATACGCCCAGGCCTGCAGGCAGTGACACTAGCGGTCAACCATTCAACGTATTTGGTTACGATGCTCTTGCCAGATAAAGCTAATGTAGGGCGACCCTGCTCAAACGCGCAGTCGGACCAACCGAGAGAAGCCCATTTGCCAACTGCAGATTCGGAAAAGCGAGCAGTTATGTTAGCTTCCTTGTGATGGAGGAAGAGTTTGTACCTTTGAACTCCAAAACACGTATAATTGTGGATCATGGTCTTCTGTGAATGTCTCTTACTCCAGCAACACGCTGCGAATGATTGAGCGTCGGGTAACTCTTAGCCACTCTTGTCTCGCTTATGGAGCAGCGTGCGGCTACACACGATGGGGGCCAAAAAGGACTTGTTCATTTGATAGATATCGGAGTGCGTTGCAGCATCACAGCTTCGCAAACAAATTTGTCAGAAGGGCTACATTGATTTCAGTGATGGCTGAGAATCCCGGAGAACTCCGAGGCTGAAAGCTGTATATCAAATAATGCAAATTAAAATCGTGGCTTGGTTTATTGGCGCCGTCGGTATTTGAAAAATATAGTGGCGCAGCTGCCGAGTGTGCCAAGAACCGCGCCTTTCCCTATTAGGAATCATGAGACGCGGTGCAGTGGAGTAGTAAAATGTCAGCTAAGCAGCTCGGTCACCTCGTCGACCTCTCACAGCCTTCAATCCAGCATCTACCCATCGTCGCCAAGCTCGCAGATCACTCCAAGTGAGTGCACTCAAACCACAGACGCAATGAGGCCCCCCCAGGACGCCTCAAGAGTCAAGACCCCTTAGAGGCAGCCATAACGGTCGAAGCTCGACCTTCATCCGGGTCGCCGTATTCTTGAGCTCACGCTACTGGGTACTTTGTGCCTAGCTACATGCTCGTATGTGGCCCCAGTGCAATTAGAAATTCCGGCCTGCAATTCTAAACCACTCAAGCTGCGCGTCGGCTCTTTCAGGTACTAGAGCTGCCCGTTGCGGCTGAGGGCTGTTTTCTCTGAGTCTGCGAATGATCTTCCTTGCATCAATATGTGTACAACTCACCAATGTGGAACCCCTGAATTGGGCATGAGCAAGTTCAGCGGTTATGGCAGCTACCCACAAAGCCTCGCAGGGTTCCTTATTCATCAGGTTTGATATAAAGTGTGGTCCTCCCTTTTGGGGCATCAATGGACGAGATGCAGATGGTCGACTTTTCTTCATCAACATGGTTGGTGTTCCTGGACGCAGTAAGGGCTGTCATACGTGCTTGAAACGGAGGGTGAAGTGTGGTACGTAAAAACCCACCGTGTCGTGTGGCCTCTCGGGGCGTCTTTGCTAGACCAATGGCTGACACTCGTGGCGTCTTAGATGAAGCCCGTCCGACCTGTAAGCGATGCGAAAAGGCCGGATACGCATGCGCTGGATATGAGAGGAAGCTGGAGATGCGTTTCCATACCTTTGCAGACCAGGCGGATCCGGCGATATCAGCGTCAACAAAGACCAGCAAAGACCCTCCCCTAACAACGGGAGGTGTTCCCGAAAATCTTGTACTCAAGTCCAATGACAGTCTGGGGAGCTCCAGTTCCATGCCTCGGGAGTTGAGCTTTGTGGCATTCAGAGACAATATCCAGTTCTCCTATCTCTTTGACAATTTCGTGTGGAGCAGCTATGGCTCTCCATGGCTCCAGATGTCGGCAGAGGGAAAGCTCGATGCGTTGTCGCTGGAGGCTTGTCGAGCGTTTTCCCTCAGCATTTTCGGGAGGCACCATCGACAAGCCGAGATAGAAGTAAGCGGCGCCATACATTACGACAAGACAGTGCGAGCCCTATCATCTCGACTGTCGAATGTGGGGGCGCCCGGTAGTGAGAATCTGATCGTACCTATCATGATCCTTCTCATGCACTCCGTAAGTCAGCTGCAACCCTCGCTTACCAGGGGTGTGTGTGCCCCCTCCGCAGGCAGGCTTACAAACAAATACAGTCGAGTACCCCGGATGCCCAGGCTTCTGCATTCCACATCCAAGGGCTGCTGAAACTCATTCAAATATGCGGTCCAGAGAGATTCGCCGCCGGTCCTTTGAGATTTGCCTTCGAATCATGCCGGGCAACGCTGGTAAGCAAGGCTGGGGCTCAAGGCTGTCGAACGACCATGACCACTGACGTTTTCGCCGGCTGCAGGTCACGGTCTCGCTGATCACCAGGACCAGAAGCTTTTTGGAGCAACCCGAGTGGCTGAGCGAACCATGGGCCATGTGCGGCGAGTACAACAAAAACCCGCAGAACCGCCTCGTCGACATCCTGGTCCATATCCCGGGTTTTCTGCAAGACCAAGCGCAGCTGGAGCAGGCTCCCTCGGAACACTTTCGGCTCGAACTCATCCGGCGCATTGAGTATCAGATCGCCAGAGCCCACAATTGGCGGTGGCAGTGGGAAGAAATGAACCCGACCGTCGCGTGGGAGGTGGATCCAGAAACGCTCCCTCCCGATCAAATCCTCACCCAGCCCCGGCCGGTCAGGAAGGTGCTGGTTTTCTCCTCCTTTACAAAGGCCACGGAGCTGTCCCTGTACAACGCCATCCTCGTGTTCCTCCTGGGCCTGTTGTGGACGCTGAAACCGCCAGACAACGACTCGCCCTCGCCCGCCCGTCAGTCGCAGTCGCAATCACAGTCGCAGTCGCATTCGTCCTCGGCCCTCTTCCTGCCCGGCGACGTCGACTCCCTAGTCGAGCCGGCCATCGAGATCTGCCGCGCCTTCGAGTTTCAGCTCCTGGCCGTCAAGAGCTGTCGCGACTCGGCCCTGTTTTGGTTGTTCCCGTTGGGGCTCGCAAGCAAGGCCCTCGAAGACAAAATCGACTATCTGGCGTGGATCAAGAGCATGCTCGACGCTTCACAGGTCACGAGGGGCTATGGCACGGGGGCAAACACTTACGGCTTCGGTTTCTACAGGCTGCCCAAAATTCGGAGGAAGAGGTCCAACGAACATCCAATGATTCAACCGCCTTACGACTCGGATTCGGTCAGGCAATTCTCAGAAGGCTCATCTTCACCCGAGCAATTCGTTTGAGAAGGCGAGACGGGTTTTGAGACACGGCGTTTTCGCGATGATGGGGGTAGTTGGGGGAACTCGTCAAGCGAATTTGGCACACCAGTTCGAATAAGATTCTCCCGAACCTTTTTTCCTGGTTCGATTATGCGGTGTCATGGCATTTACGACGTGGAATGGCGGCGAAGCAGTAGCGAAGGAGTGTGGCGTTCTCTCCAATCATTGTGCATTCTGGCTTTCAATCAAATGTCAATATTTTGAAACATGTTACGTCCAAAAAGTACCTAATCCCAATTTGCGCCATACTTCATCGTCCCATTCAATTGGTTCATTATGCTGCACCAGCCGCGTACACTCGGTCAGGCTCAGGCTCCTGGGTGGTTGACGCCATCATGTTTCGAATGCCCTGGGTCAAGTCGACACCCACTCTCTCTTTGGCCAAGAGATCGACCAATAATGGACTTGGTTTGCTGTCCCGGTAAGGCTGAGACGCTGCCTGGCTCTCTTTGTATTTCTGTACATTGTCCAGGTACATATCGAACAGATACGACGAGTCAAGCGGGCCTCCCTTGGCTTCCGGATGGAACTGCGTAGAAAAGATAGGGCGAGACTCGTGGATTAGACCTGTATAAGTGTAAGTACTTGGGGGATTGTGCTTGACCAGGTCGGCCGCTCACCTTCGTTGGAGTTGTCATTCAGATTGATGAAATAAGGCTTCCAACCCTTTGGCAAGGTTGACGCATCAACAGCATATCCATGATTCTGACTGGTGATGTGGCATTTTCCAGTAGTCAGATCGAGGGCGGGGATGTTATGTGCTCGATTGCCATACTTGAGCTTGATTGTCCTAGCTCCTGTGGCTAAAGCGACTAGCTGGTGGCCCAAACAGATCCCCATGATAGGAACCTGAGATGTCTCCATCAACTTTCGGAGATGGTAGACAGTGTCTTGGCAGTGGGTCGGGTCACCAGGACCGTTGGAGATAAACACACCATCGAAATGGTGGGCGACCCTGTGAATGGGATAGTCAAACGGAAAGACAGTTGCGCTGGCACCGCGACTGACAAGACTGCGAAGGATATTCTCCTTGACTCCACAATCAATTACAGCGACGTGGGCATTTGGCGATGCAGCGCTGACATGGAAAGGAGCCTTGGTGCTGACTTTTCGGACGAGGTTAATCTGCTCGGGATCGATAAACGCCTCGTCCTGATCTTGGTCGTACTCCTCTCCGATGGTGATTCTGGCCAGACTAGAACCTTGCTCTCGCAGGTAGGTTACAATGGCTCGGGTGTCGACGCCCGTGATGGCTGGAACACCTTCCCTCGCACACCATTCGCTCAGACTCTCCACAGCAGTCCAGTGAGAATATCTCTCTGCAACATCGGCAACCACCACTCCCACGGCTTGAATGTTAGGGCTCTCGAAATATTTCAGAAGGCCATGCTCATCTCGAGTATTAGATGGGACACCGTAGTTGCCGATCAAGGGCTGGGTGAAGACCAAAATCTGGCCGCGGTAGGAGGGATCGGTGAGGGACTCTGGATATCCCACGAGAGAGGTGGTGAATACTGCCTCTCCCGAGACGTTGCTTCGAGCACCAAAGGATATTCCATCGAAGATGGGCCCATTTCGGATGGTGAAAGTTGCCCTTTCGCGAGCAGGAGGGGTACTTTTGATCTGCTCGTGGACGGGCGGATGTTGATGTCGGGGGGTATTTTCCGCCATAGTGGCCAGGGATCGGGCTCGTAAAGCAGAGGCGCTCGAGTAAACGTTGGCCGCTTTGGGCACAAGGGTCGACTGCTTCAAAGCCCTCGAAAACATCTTGAAATGTTATGGCTCGTGTGTTTTTTCGCCTTGTTCCTGACCGCTAGTTTGCCTGGGCCTTCCACAAATGATCTAACGCCGCCGTCAGAGAAGTCGAGGAGTCCAAGGGGAAGGTCAATAGTTACCACTAATGTAATCCTAGAAGTCCATGTGTTAGCAGAAGATTGCAAATGACGTTGGGAATGCAGTGACACAATAAAATGAGGTGCTTATCAGTGGGCTGGCGGGGATGGCGACAGAAAAAAACACTTACTTGAGAGGTGAAGATGCTGGGGAAGCACATGAACGCGATGGCAATTCTCGTGCAGGCAAGAGGAAGCTGAAATATCAGAGCCTTGGGAAGGCAAGTCTTAGTTTTTCTGCAAGGTCTGCAAGGTCTGCAAGGTCGATAGCACAAAAATTCTTTTTCTTCACAACAAACGACGTCGGTCTGTGGAGATGGAGAGAGATGGAGCGGGAAAAGATTGGTGCGTGAGGTCGATTGGACTGAGCAAAGATTTCAGCGCAGGCGGAGCGGCTCACTAGGCTCAGTAGCCAATCAAACCAACGGCAAAACTTTGCCTTGGCCTAAGCAAAAATTCTACGCCGGGTGACGAAACACCGGGTACGGGTTGTCATCACGTGGTTGAGCTTTTACCACGTGACCCACAGAACACCACGCCGTAGTTTTTCCGAATCCACCCTCACCACCAGCTGTTCAACTCTCAACTCTTACCAACCCAGAGCTGTCATTGGAATAATTCCTGTTTTCAAGAAGCTAACTAGGTTACAAAGTATGAAGGTGAACAGCCAGTCGACCCTTTAGATCTCGCCCGCTGTCGATTCCAAAGTGAAGATTGCCCATCTGGCATCCTTGGCTCGTCTGTTGACTTTGCTGGCCTCAACCTTCTTGGATTCCTCCTGACACTGCCATAAATGGCCTCAAACCCTGAGAGAATTGAAATCCGGCAAAGCACCCCGTACAAATCGAGCACACTTCCCTCCACTTAGCCGGCGACCATCCCTACCTCCCCCGTCGCGACCATGCTTTCCTCTCTCAGATGTCCCAAGTAATCCTCGGCAATCGTTTTATCCCACGGCCAACGATACAACGTCCTTAGCATATCGTCTTGAAGCCACCAGGTGAGCTGCACGATCGGGGGTAATTGATCTTCAACTCTGCCGCCAGGATTGCTCAAGTCCTCCTTGTCATCCGCACGCTGTTCTTGCTTTTTGATTTTGGTGCACATGGCGAGTTTAACCAGCACCGCCTGGATTGCTGCAATGCATGTTGTCTCCACAGGAGTCCAGGCTGCACTTATTGATGTGAACGAGTCATAGGCTGAGTCGTCAATTAAGCCATTCTCGTGCGGCGAGGATACGGTCACTTTCGAGACATCGGCTTCCCTCAACGCAGATTCAAGAACGGCCTCCGCACTTGCACGACGTGGATTGAACATGTCCGTCTCCAGTGTGGCACATTGTTCAAGCATATGAAGAACCAGTCGCATGAATATAATTCGAGTGCCGAGGTTGATCTCTAGGTTTGTGGTGCTTCGGAGCAACAGCACAAAAGAGTCAACAGGATGCTGAAGGAATTCCAGTGTCGAGTCAGAGATCAAGCCCTTATGGTCGATGATATCGTCGCCAAGAAAATGATTGACCACGTTGGAGATATTCGCCGCTTGCCCCTTGGTGCCATGATTGACTAGACACAGCGGCCGCAACTGATTTGAGGCCTGCCTCCAAACATCAAGAAGTACGTCCTTGTAAGGGAGGTCTACGCCTGGTCTTGCATTGCTCAAGCAAGCGTGGTTGAGGATAGCGAGCATGATTTGTGGATAGTCGGACTCCAGAAACCGAGCATGCAGAACCTTGTCCACACTCTTCGTCCATGTCTTGCGATTCACCTCGTCCTCCAGGTCGACAAACGTCGGAATGGCGGCTTGGAGGTTCTCGTGCAAGGGACTACTTCCAAGGTTCGCGATGTGATAAGCGCAAGGATCGCAACAGACGAAAGCGGATAGAACGTCTGTCTCGGGGTATCCAGCCATCGTGAGCGGGTATACCATCGCCGAACGGCTATGAGGTGCTGTGAAACCTGGCGTCGGCATGCCAACTGGTGATGATTTGAGCAGGATCGCGAACGTTTGAGATAATTCACCACATATCGGACATGGGTGCACAGCACCTAAGCCGGCTTTCGATCTCCGGTAGCCAGGAATGAAGGTAACCTGAGTTTGTACCTCTTGTACAGAGAAAGGTCGCTGTTGCAGCTTCGGAGCATTGGGTGGGCGTGGGCTCCAGTTTCGATTCAAATTGTACGTCGTTCCTGTCCAGTCAAGGTTTGGGGGTGTTGGGAAATAACCGCCGCCGGCTCTTGGAATTGGAGATGCCGCGCTACAAGGGGTACCAAGTCCCATACTCGGAGTCGGAGATGTGATAAAGGGAACTGGAGCTCGAGATGCCCAGCTAGAAGAGGTAGCAAACCCCATACCCGGAGTCGGAGAGGCGATACTGCTTGGACTACCGAGTCCCCTTTCTTTGATCATCTCCATGCGGTTCACCGCGTGCGCAACGACGAGATTGACCTCATCATTTTGTTCTCCAGCGCATGCTTTGGCAAATTTGCGCCAGTTGCGTTTGTGCGCGTCACAAAGCGTTAGGCGAACCGTGTGGCCAGGCCTAGGCAGACACCCATAGCTCATGAGCTTGCCTACAATATGGCTGACAATGCTCGGCTTTTTTCTCTACATCGACACGGTAGGCGTTGATAGCTTCAGGTGGAAGTCTGCGTTGGCCTTTCAGCCAGTCCTCAACTAAGTTGGCCTCTCCTCGCGCTGTTGCAGTCAACATCACTGTATTCAAATTGTCATCGTTGCCCAGGATAGTCCGCACTTGTTCGCCATTGATCTCGTCGCGGTATAGCTGTGCCAAGCTCACTTTGCTGCCGTCCTGCAACATTACTTCACCCGCGTCGAGTTTTGCTGGCTCCGGAATAGTGATATTCCCGAAGTCGGAGTAGCGTATGGTCTTCAGATCCGACCAGGTGGTCCAGTCGTTGATCTCTTGGGAGACTGACTGGTGATTGTTGATCGAGCCAAGAGCGCCTTTCGACTGCAAAACGAACACCTCGTGCGTCTTGACATCGTGAAAGAGGAAGAGACAGTCGGGCACTAAGGCAAAGAGTGATACTCCGACAGAGATATTACAATCTTCTGGCTTCGGCTTCCGGTGGCCGAAGAGGATGATGACGCAGGCTTTCCCGTGCAGCCTGGCTCTGCTGATGTTGACCGAGAAGCGTTCGATTGAGCCCTGAGAGATCTCGCCGTCAGTGAGCAGCCACCAGACATTCGTTGAGTTCAAAGCCTTCAGCACCGTTGAGTTGTCGAACAAACTATTTGGTTCGGTCCCGGCCGAGTTTCTGAGCGCTCCCAAAGTCTCAAGACCCTGCAGTCCGTGGCAGAATTGTGACCATGGCGCTACCCTGCTCGCGTGTCGTGCATCCAAGGTCAGGAGATCTGTTACCTCTTGCACGGCGCTGATTTCTTCGCGGAGCACAGTACCACGAGTACTGATTGACACATCAGTTGAGAACACAGAGCGGCACTGAGTGAAAGGAACCATCCCCCTTCGTCGGCTGGACTCGCAAGGGGAAGGGGGCTTGTATGGGGAGACATTGTTGTTTGCTTCAGGCATGTGACAGTCGCGGTCACCAGGCGCCATAATGATTTCGAAGAACTGGTTTCTGCTACGGATGAGGAAATGCTTGTGCAATGCGGAATGTGATCAGGGTGTTCAGAGTTGATCTTTCCAGTCTTATCTGTCCAACCGTGCTACATCAGCTGCTTCTGACAAACTCCCGGGATGCTTTGCAAGGGAAGAAGTTGGGAAGTCAGGAATTGCGACGGGGAAGGCATATCATCACCACGTTCTCGGGCCTAGTCCTAGTCGTCTAGGCGTATGTAAGGGTAGAAAAGAACATGAGTTGGTTATAGTGCGATGGAGGACTTCATATCCCAACATTGGCTTCATCTCGCTGGTTGGATCACTGCCACGGCCAAGTTCATGTAATCATCGTAATGCGTGAGGCTCAGAGGTTGTGAAGCGGGGTATGCTCTCGAAGGGTCTTTCAGTGTGTGGCAGCCAGGTCTTCATGCACAGGATCCCTACAAGGCGGAACAAAGTGGCTGCATGCATAGAAGAAAGGCAACCATTAGTGGGGACCTGGACGGGTGCTTTCCTGGTGCATGTCTCTGCACAGCCCCACACTTGGAAAGAGAGACCAGGATCCCTGGGCCCAAACTCGCCAATAGCAGCCTGCTAGAAAACCTAGCGAGAACCATTTTCTAGCCGTTCACGTCAAATGTGCGGCTCTGTCGTCTCGCAGGAGTACCCTTACGCCTCACCAAATCACGGCATCTCCGACCACCTCAATGCTCCATGACCGCTTAGCATTGCACAGTTCAATCTGGTATCGAATGTAGCACTAGGTGAGCCCTCGTTGAAGGACACGGCCATTCTCGTGGCCCGTGACAGCGTATGGACTATTTTTCTTCCTCAATTCATCCCTCCGTCTCCAGTAGAAGTAGAAGGCGAATGCAACGCATGTCGAGGGCACCGTGCACACGACCCATATCCAGGCTTTTGCTCCATTTGTCAAGTAGTCATCTTGTGCGAAGAACGGCATCGCGAGGAATGCCTACGCCTGATCATTAACATGGTCATTGTTGGAGTACATTGTTTTCTTACAGCAAACGAGGTGCCAGGGAGGAAAAACATGGTAGTCACAGCGATCTCCACACGTGTCAGTAGGCAGGGCAAGGCACAGGACGCCTCGCGAGCAGACTCACAGTCTTCATGGCTACACTGTCCTTCTGCATCTCCTCCGCGATTTGGCCCTGTTTCGCGGCGATAATTCGAGAGATCTCGGAGTCTTCACGTGTCGCTTGTAGGATCGAGTGCATCTTTTCACCGTTAGACACCATTAAGCGATCATTGGCAATTTGAATGCGATTGAACAACTGCAAAGCCTGTTAGAATGTTCTCCCGCACATAAGTTGGTCATAGAGGTAGAAAAGGGGGCTCACCAGTGCAAGGATATTCTTCAGCTTCACCTCGAGCTCTTCCAGCAAAATCCTGACTTGTTTCATGTGAGTGCAGATCTGGCTCAGACATTTTGAGACTCGATAGTATTTCTGCTGATCCTCTTCTGCTTGTTGTCGCGAAAAGCTGTCATGATGCTCCTTGATGTCACCGAGAATGTCGGATGCTGTTGATAACTCCGAGCCGTAGCGATGCAAGTGAGCAGCTATCGAATGCAGAGCTCGGTTGACTACACTATAGACGTCCGATGCCTCTGTCTCGTTATCGATTTCTTGCTGGAGCCGTTTTTCCTGCGTGTGTCAGCGAGGAAATTGTCAACAGGTATAAGGCCTGCCTACATATGCGATCAGTTGGTCATTGATGCTGCTCAATGAGTTCATCCACCACCGAAGGCTACTCGTGAAAAATATCGAATGAATGAAGAATGGGTCCACAGCGAGGCCGAGACCATCGGCCATTTTGACGGACTCTAGCAGTCGCCGTTGAGGCTCTTCAACAGATCGACTCCAACGACCGTCCATGAAATTAAACACGATTGTCACTGATCGCGGCTCGGTCTGCGAGAACTCGCACAGGATAGCAATCTGTGAACCCCTGACATCCACTCTTACATCTGGTAAATGCAGGTAGTGGCGGGGATCCATCTGATTGCTCCCTGCTGTGCTAGCTACATGGGCCCTCTCTGTATCGTTGCAGAGCACTTGCATCCTAATCGGGAGGACGTACCAAAAGCTGAATCTAGTTGATTGTCTCGACGGCTTCATCTCAGGACTTGAAAAGCCACGGCCGCTGGGTAGATGAAGCTGCGTGAGCGCTGATACAAATGCCAAGGGTACATCATATGTTTTCATGAGAAGTCGGAAAAGCCCAGGATCCAGTCGAAGCTTGTTCGCGTCTGCAGGTATGGGGTCCCGCGTGCTGCGGACCAAAAAGCGATTGATGAATCTGGATGCCATGGGTTAGGCCAGAAGTCAACAACTTGGAGGCATTCTCACAGAAATTGGTGCTTGTTGGAAGGGTCTCGTGGAGACTTCGCCGCGTCATTAAGAATTACTCAACTTTGCTTAGGGAGCCCTTTGTCTTTGCAATATACCTGGAGGAAATTCTGCAACCCTGCCGGCCCCAAATGGGTTTCTTCCCAGTCTGAATCTCGTCAGTAAACAAAGTCTTCTCCACATATATATATATTGGAAACAACCATCAAAAGTCTCACTCGCTTTGATCGCATACACGTCCGTGTCATCAGAGAGTTGTGATTTTTCGAACGTCTTTAAGATCCGTCGCAACTCATGCCCATTGTCCCTGATGCACATCAGTAATGCTTTACCCAGGAAGCCGGTGAGACCCGCAAGTCAGGCATATAGTTGACGTTGTTGAAAGGCCATTCAGCCTGGTCCTCGGTATTCGTTCCCATGTTCATCGACCTTTGCACTGGGAAACATGACTTCGAAAGACAATCCTCGTCGACGCCTTGATGAGAGATAAGGCTGAGAACGGGTCCTATTGGTGCAAGCCACTTGGCTCAATGGCGACGCCGAGTACCGCTTACCAGCCTCAGCTCAGCCCCCAGCTCAGCCTCTCTTGGCCGACATTCTCTGGCGAGTCCGCGTTGACTCCCACCTTTTTTGAATTTCGTGGGAGACTGTACCTCAGTCTTGCCCTAGACCGAGTATATATTGGACTTGTCTTATCCTGGTACAGTTACTCTTCAAACTTGCCCCTCCAATGGCCGAGCTAACCCTAAATGGAGGGGCGGGCTCGGAGCTCGGAGACGCCACGAGCATATCAACAGTCACAACGGGCTTCAATTGCAGCGCTCCGCGATACAAGAAGACCTTCAACCCCGCGTGGATCAAACAGAATGTTGTTGACTCTCAGAACTCTCCCGCGTCTGGCCGACGAGCTGATAACATCGCACTCGTTGTCAGCTGCGCCCACACGGAAAATGGTGCTCCAAGCAGCTCACACCGTCCTCGCGTGTGCGAGAACCCCGTCCTCCTACCCCTAGGCGAATCTGCCATTTCTGCAGACAAGGGGGCGTTTCAAGATTTCCCTCTGACCAGCGCACAAGACTGTTCTCAGTTATCGGTTGGACAAACGCAAGAGGAAGATCCTGAAAAACAGAGCGGTGGGCCGTCCGAGTTTTTTTCCGTGCAGGATTCCTCAAAGCACAATTTGTGTCAGTCCCTGACACCACAGATCAGCAAGACGCCCGTTCCGGAGCCAAGTGCTTCGGGCAAGAAGAAGAAAAGGCACAAGCTTCTGAGAATTTTCACTGGCCACAATTCACCCGTTGATTCATCGAATGTCCCGGCTGCTGAGTCGCCGATTTCCGAGACTCCAAAAGCATCACGTTTTGGAACATTTAGGAGACAGTTGACGTCCCCAAAAGGCAAGAAATACGAATCCCCGGTCTCTCGGCAGCGGGTACCGAAAGGGACGGCCCTCCCTCAAGACGGTCAAACTCAACGCCAACCAGGCCGGCAACCACCGGCTCAAGATATTGGCAAAATTGTTGATGAACAGACGGCGCCCAAATACGAACCTCTTCATCCTGGTCGCGCGCCCAAAGACGCGGATCGGACAGGAGATACAATGCCCCCAAGGTCTGCTGCCGCCCCCAATCCTGCAGCACGCATGTCCGGAGGACTTGTTCGCTTGCCGTCACAAATCCGAACACCTCACTCTACCATGACAACAAGCTCAAGGGCAACCAACGCCTCGGATGACCTTCGAGACGTGCCTGCACGAGCACCTTCTTTTGAGCCGAGTTACTCTCCGCCATGTAGTTTGGCACTGGCACAAAGCCCCTGCCATACCGCAAAGCGGCCCTCTGCATGACATCGGAGTTTGACGTGTAGCTACTACCTACGCCTGAACTTTCGGCGGGCCGTATGGAATGGCAACTTTGCATTGGAAAAGACTGGAGGGAGCTGATCAATGACATTTGCTCATGCATACTTCTCCTGTCGACACGAGCTTTCTCTTGTGACAATTGTAATTGGGAGCGAGAGCGGACACCGATGTCTGACCTTCTTACCACTCGATAATGTCTTTCAGAGTGATCTGTCTCATAGCCTTCCATCAAGGCTTTCATGGTCAACGATCAAAAGTTTGGTGTAAGAACTACATTGGCAATGTTGCTAGTACGGGCTGCAGCAGATTCTGGGCACAAATTACGCACGAAAAATTGGCCATATAATCACTCCTTCTAGGTCTGAAGTGAGCTGTGATCCAGGATGTGTTACCTTGGTCGATGAAATGTCCATACATCTAGTACATTTTCGAGCGAAAATCTAAAAATATGGTAGTTCTACCGAGGCAGTGATCTGCGTTGGCCCCTAACTCCTACTAAGTTTAGTACTCGCTAGTAAATAGCTAATGTTTTACGAAGGAAATACTTACAGTAGATTACTCACAAACGAAAACCCTAAACGCCATAAACGGTTTGATCCTAGAGGGTAGCCT